CCTGTTGCTATGGCAACTTAGCTAACATCAAGCCACTCTCTCCAACAAAACATAATCTCCCATACTTCCCATCCCTAAACCATTGTCCAAACTACACATAACCAAAGGAATAAAACTTACACATCGTCACACTGTTGTTAGTTGTTTTTATTATTGATGTATTGTTGGGCTCGGCCTCATGTAAGCCGCACCGAGTCCCTTGGGAGATGGTAGCGGGGTATAAATAAAGTTATTATTATTAGTCTGTCTGCGCAATCTTTCAGCAGCTGAGGATATAATCTGTTGTTTCATCTACACTTGGGATCTGTTGTTGACTTTTCAATTCTGGCTTTGATGCTGATGATGATGATTACTATTATTATTATTATTATTATTATTATTATTATTATTATTGATTGTGTCTAAGAAAGCGGACAAGCTGTCTATCCCCTACCTATCCCTAGTTCATTTTTTGAGTTGAAGGTAATTGTGTTTTGTATAAAAAAGGGAATTGGTTTCCCGTCTGAATATGTCAGTGAAACAGGGTCTTCAGAATTGCTAATTCACAGGAAACTTTGTTTTCTTTGTAGGCCTCGGCATCCTCAGTAACTTTGCGTGAAACAGAACATGGCAGGAGAGGAACATCTTTCTTTGGCCATGTTGGGAACCGCTTGGGAGAAAAGAATCAAAATGGAGAAGCCAGATACAGCTTGTTACGAGTTAGGAGAAGGCCTTGATCCTATTCGGGCTGAGCACAAAGGGGAATCCTCTGGAAAAACCATGGAGAAGAACCTGGGGGAGAATGCGCTTAGTCCGGATGCCCTACACCAGCGCTTTGTGCAGCTTGAGTACCGGGAGGCATTGGGACCCCGAGAGGTTTGCAGCCGACTACATGCTCTCTGCCGCCAGTGGCTGAAGCAAGAGGAACATGCCACGGCTCATTTTGTGGACCTGGTGGTCCTGGAGCAGTTCCTGGCCATCCTTCCCCCAGAGATGGAGGAGTGGGTGAGGGACTGTAGGCCAGAGACCCCTTGCCAAGCAGTGGCCTTGGCAGAAGGCTTCCTTATGAGTCAGGCAGAAAAGAAGACACAGCAGGTGAGCGTGTTTCATCTTGGTCATACTAATTTGATGCCAAGCGGTGGGATTTTGAGAGCGGAAGGAGGGATCAGGTGATCCAATAAGGCCGAGGTGTCAAACTTGTAGCCTTCCAGATGTTTGGGTCTCCAACTCCCAGAAGCCCTAGCCCAGAGGTTCTCAACCTGTGGGTCCCCAGGTGTTTTGGCTTACAACTCCCAGAAATCCCAGCCAGTTTTCCAGCTGTTAGGATTTCTGGAAGCTGAAGGCCAAAACATCTGGGAACTCACAGGTTGAGAACCACTGCCCTAGCCAATTTGTCCAATGCCAAGGAATTCTGGGATTTGGAGTCCCGAACACCTGGAGGGCCACAAGTTTGACACCACTGCAATAAGGAGACAAGAAGAGATATTCTTTGTGTAGACAGCAGGCTGGATTATGGCTGAAGTTATGTAATACAGATAGACAAGAGTAATTCCTGAAGTAAAAAGTTGTGGCAACTTGGGAAATTTCCAAGAGGTTGGGAAAAGGCTCAGTTTGAATGTTGGTTGAGTATCCCCTGGTGGTGCAGCTGGTTAAACTTGCTGACCGAAAGGTTGGCAGTTCGAATCTGGGGATTGTGGTGAGCCCCTGCTGTTAGCCCCAGCTTCTGCCAATCTAGCAGTTTGAAAACATGCAAATGTGAGTAGATTAATATATTATCAATAATTTTAAAGCAAAGGTTCTTTTGGGTTGTTGTAGGTTTTTCAGGCTGTATGGTCATGTTCTAGGAGAATTCTCTCATGATATTTCTCCTGCATCTATGGCAGGCATCCTCAGAGGTTGTGAGGTCTGTTGGAAACTAGGAAAATTGGGTTTATATATCAGTGGAAAGTCCATGGTGGGAGAAAGAACTCTTGTCTACTGGAGCTAGCTGTGAATGTTTCAATTGGCCACCTTGATTAGCATTTGATGGCCTGACTGTTTTTTAGGTGTGGCTTGTTACTTCCTGGGGGAATCCTTTGTTGATAAGCTATCCCTGATTGTTTCTTGTCTGGAGTTCTCCTGTGTTTGAGCGTTGTCCTTTATTTGCTATCATAATTTTAGAGTTTTTTTAAATAATGGTAGCGAGATTTTGTTCATTTTCACAGTTTCTTCCTTTCTGTTGAAATTCTGCAAAACGTAGAGCGTGTTGCAGTAGTCTATTTTCAATGTAACCAGAGCGTGGTTGTTTTTTTTGTTGTTGTTTATTTATTGATGTATGTGTACATGTGACATCAAATTGTTGCCTTTGTAAGTCAGCCCTGAGGCCCCTTTGGAGTTGAGAAAGATGGGATGCAAGTATGGTACGAGGGTTGAATGAAAAGTAATGCCTCCACCTTCATAAGTCCTCAACAGATGGTAGTACTGGTATGTGGCAGGTACTGGCTTATTTGGTAGACTCTCCTCTACAGTTCCATTTTGGCGGGAAGCCTTAGCATTGAACGGTTGTGTTGTTAAAATGCGAAGTATGGAACCCTGTGCAAACATTCGGTCAATGCGACTTAAGCAATGTGCTGTCATTGAATTCTTGACAGCAGAAGGTGTCACCTCAAAGGAGATTCATCAGAGAACACAAGCTGTTTATGGTGATTGTGTTGGTGTGAGTACTGTGCATCATTGGGCGAGTAAGTTTAAAGATGTTGAGGTGGGAATATCTGACTGCGTGACAAACTAAGAGTTGGATGTCCTGTGACAGCAACTACCGACTTTCACAAGCAAAACGTTGACAGATTGATTCAGGAGGATTATCGTATCACTCAGAGAGAAATTTCAAGCATAATCGGCATTTCACAAGAACGTGTGGGTCACATTATTTCTTTGCTTGGCTATTGGAAGATCTGCGCACGGTGAGTTGCGGAAACAGAGTGCCAATTTCTTCCATGACGGCTTCAGAAAACTTGTTCATCGTTGGCAGAAATGTATCCGATTGTCTGGGGATTATGTGGAAAAGTGAATAGTGGTAGTTAAAGAGCACAGTCTAAGGATTATTTCTGCATTTGATTTATTAAAATATCACCATCCAAACCCAAGTAACAAAGATTGGAGGCATTACTTTTTATTCAACCCTCATCAATTAATTAATTAATTAATTAATTCATCCAGTAAATAAAAACTGAATTTTAACAGACCTTTAAATAGCCTTGAAATGTGCTGTTCTATTGCATTACATTCATTTAATCTCTGTGTTCTAAATTGTTCTCTGTAGATAGCTTATTTGTTGTATGCTTTCATTATTGGGAGGGAGGGTAGTTGTTTCAGGTGTTCTAAGGCTGGTTCTCAACCTGGGGTCCTCAGATGTTTTTGGCCTACAACTCCAGAAATCCCAGCCAGTTTACCAGCTGTTAGGATTTCTGCGAGTTGAAGGCCAAAAACATCTGGGGACCCCAGGTTGAGAACCACTGCGAGTCTAAGCAACCTGGAAGTCCTCTCCTGGGAAAAAATATGGGATGTAAATGAATAACAGAGTGATGCTTGATAATGGCGTTGCCTTCCTTTTCTCTGGAAATCATTCCGAGTGGTAATGCCAACCTTGTCCACCTTGTTTCATCTTCTGGTTTTACTTTTTCTTTCCTCTCCTGCCTTCTGCTTCCGGTGCAGCGCTCAACTGATCAAGAGATGGGTGAGATGGGAAAGATTCCTTTGGAGCCCGGTCAGACCCTACATCCCGCTTGGATGGTGCAAGATGTCAATGGAGAGCCCAGCCCAATAAGTAAGGACTATCAGGATCTTTTTCTGCATGGCCCCCTCCCTTCAAGCACAGTAGTATACACTGGACTTTCGTTCCAGGATCCCTTTCACTGTAGATACTCAAATCTGTTGATGCTTAAGTCCCTTTAGATCAGGCATAAGCAAACTTCAGCCCTCCCTCCAGGTGTTTTGGACTTCAACTCCCAGAATTCCTAACAGGAGTTGAAGTCCAAAACACCTGGAGGGAGGGCCATAGTTTGCCTATGTCTGCTTTAGATACACTGGTGTAGCAAAAGGTTGTCTTTATATGAAATGGCAAAATCAAGTGTTGCTTTTTGAATAATTTATGGTTTAAAGTTGGGTGCAGGATCTGGATAGAGAGGATAAGCTGTGTGCCTGAAATAACTGGGCAGTATGGATTGTTTTAAATGTTTCATTCTATCCTAACCACTGTGAGAATTGTTGAAAGCTTTCATGGCTGGAATCACTGGATTGCTATGAGTTTTCCGGGCTGTCTGGCCATGTTCCAGAAGCATTCTCTCCTGACATTTTGCCCACATCTATGGCAGGCATCCTCAGAGGTTGTGAGGTCTAGTGGAAACTAGGCAAGTGGGGTTTATATATCTGGGGAATGATATCCTGGGTGGGAGAAAGAACTCCTGTCTGCTTGAGGCAAGTGTGAATGTTGTAATTGACAACCTTGATTACCATTTAATGGCATTGCAGCTTCAAAGCCTGGCTGCTTCCTGCCTGGGGGAATCCTTTGTTGGGATGTGTTAGTTGTCCCTGATTGTTTCCTGTCTGAAAACAGGGACACAGACATCAGAACAAACGCCACAGGGGTGTTGACACTCTCTCCCCTATGCTAAACAAAACTAAAAAAAAAATGTCTGGAAATACACTTAAAAAAACCTATTCCAACTTAAATACAAATTCAACTTAAAAACAAACCTACAGAACCACCCTGAGTCCCTTCAGGAAGATAGGGGAATCTACAAATAAAGTTTTATTATTATTGCATTATTATTATTATTATTATTACTATTATTATGAGATACATAACTAGATTAGTACACAGCAAACAAGATCACTATGCTGGCTTTTGTATTTGATCACATGTCAGGCACTTTCCAAGTGTCTATAACTGTGTCATATATCAGCAAATAATGCATGGAGATCTGAGTAGGTTGGCCTTTTGCAGCTGACAGGTGGGAATTTTGTCAGCACCTATTGTTTTGAAGTGCAGGCCAAGGTCTTTAGGCACTTCTCCCAGTGTGCTGATCATCATTGGGACCACCTTTACTGGCTTGTGCCAGAGTCTTTGCAGTTCTATTATTATTATTATTATTATTATTATTATTATTATTATTATTATTATTATTTGAAACACAACAAGATTAGTACACAGCAAACAAGATCACTCTGCTGGTTGTTGTATTGGATCACACGTTGGACACTTTCCCAAGTGTCTAGGAGTATGTGATGTATCAGCGAATAATGCGTGCAGATCCCAGTCGGGTGGCCTTTTGCAGCTGACAGATGGTAATGTTGTAAGCGCCGATTGTGCTTATGTGCAGTTGTTATTATTGCATTGTCGAAGGCTTTCATGGCCGGAATCACTGGGTTGTTGTAGGCTTTTTCGGACTATATGGCCATGTTTGCATTCTCTCCTGACATTTCGCCTGCATCTATGGCAAGCATCCTCAGAGGTAGTGAGGGCTAGTGTTGTTATTGGGGAGAGGTAGTGTTGTTGTTGTAGTTATTATTATTAAGTTCTTGTGGGTTTTTTCGGGCTATATGGCCATGTTCTAGAGGCATTTCTCCTGACGTTTCGCCTGCATCTATGGCAAGCATCCTCAGAGGTGAGGTCTGAGGATGCTTGCCATAGATGCAGGCGAAACATCAGGAGAGAATGCCTCTAGAACATGGCCATATAGCCCGAAAAAACCCACAAGAACTTAGTGATTCCAGCCATGAAAGCCTTTGACAATATATTATTATTATTATTATTATTATTATTATTATTATTATTATTATTCTGACACAAAAACACAATGTCACTGTTATTATTATTGTTATTATTATTTTTGTTATTATTATTATTATTAAAAACACAGTATGTCATTATTATTATTATTATTATTATTATTATTATACAAATGTCTGTTATTATTATTGTTATTATTATTTTTGTTGTTATTATTATTATTAAAAACACAGTATGTCATTATTATTATTATTATTATTATTATTATTATTATTATTATTATACAAATGTCTGGTTGCTGATGACACGATAAAATAAATAAATAAATAAATAAATTATTATTATTATTATTATTATTATTATTATTATTATTATTATTATTATCTTGTTCGTAACCTGGCTTTTCTTCCTGAACATCTTCCTTTAATGAGTCCGTTCCATTCCCTTCTCTCCCAAATTTTGATCCTTTTTCCTGCAAACTTACTTTGGCCGTGTGGTTTTCCCAGGAAGATTTGGCATGCATTTATTTAGATTGTTTATGTGCTGTGCCAACATCAGGTAGCCTTGGTTTTTTCATTTACCTTCCAGGTGTTCGTGTCTATAAGTACGGATTTACCCCTTTTTAGTGAATATTGAAAGACATCAGTCAAAAATGTGGGGAAATGGTGGCTATCCCTCCTTTTCTTCTGTTTCTTGCAGGAGTTGGAATATCAGCGGGGCCTGCCTGTCCAAGCACATCTCTGAATGGTGATGAATCCAAGGCAGCTCCGGCAAGACTGAATCAGGTAGGGGAGAGCATCTCTGGTCAGCCAAGAGATTATCCAGGCCATCAGCCTCTAGATCCCAAAGGCGTCAGCGCATGGCACCTTATCGTGCCCAATCAAGCCACCCATCAGCCAGATCAAGACCTTGTCAGCTTGTGTTTCCATGCCCCCTGCACCTTATCCTTGGCCTCTTTTCCTTCCCTTCCATTCAGCTGGCCTGGTCCTGGGGCAGGGAATGCTGTTGTGGGCCATTCCAGCCGCTCTGTTCCCTTCCCCCTTTATAAGTTCCTTTCAGCAGCCCCCAAATGACCACCTTCACATTTCTAACGTGGTTCGTCTCACAGATAACCTGTCTTTCTCCAGGTGACTTTTGAAGAGGTGGCTGTATATTTCACGGACGAGGAGTGGGCCATGCTGGACCTTGGCCAAAGGGCTCTTCATTGCGAAGTGACAGAGGAGATTCTGGGGATGATGATGATGTCTCCGGGTAAGTCTCCCCCATCCTTAGGCTTGATCAGATCTGGCCATGTTCTAGAGGCATTGTTCATTTGAAAACGAACAAAATCTGGCTACCAGTATTTAAAAAAAACCTCTAAAATTACAACAGCAAAACAACAGAGAAGAAACAATCTGGGACATCTAATCACCTCTCAACAAAAGATTGCCCCAGGCACTGCCAGGCCATCAAATGCTAATCAAGGTGGTCAGTTGAAACATTCACACCTAGCTCCAGCAAACAAGAGTCCTTTGTCCCACCCTCGTCATTCCACAGATATATAAACCCCTTTTCCAAGTCCAAACAGACCTCATTACCTCTGAGGATGCTTGCCATAGATGCAGGCGAAACGACAGGAGAAAATGCCTCTAGAACATGGCCATATAGCCCGGAAAAAACCTACAACAACCCAGTGATTCTGGCCATGAAAACCTTCGACAATACATTGATCAGATCTGCCAAAAAATAGCATTGGAGCTCTCTTTCGGTCCGACTATAGTAAAAGGGGCTGAGTCTCTCTTCACAGGAAAAGGGCACAGTGGGTGAGGTGAGGTTCAGATGGGACACCTTTGGGTGGGGGATGCTGGAGTCTCCACTACAGGTCCCCTTCAGCCCTGCTTTGCCTCCTCCAACAGCCACTGTGTCTCCATCCTTACTTAGGTGATTCTTCGTTTGAGTAGGATTGTCTTCCAAGATTGGTGTACTGGCAGTGGGTCCGTAGGTGACTGTGGAGCCCAATTCTTGACCTGCATGTTCTCCCACAGTGAGGGCATCGGTTTCCAGGTGGAAGGCGGTCCCGGTCGGGGTTGGCTTGACGCGCCTTCCTCTTGGCACGTTTCTCTCTTTCACCCTCCATTTGTGCCTCTTCCAATTCTACAGCACTGCTGGTCACAGCTGACCTCCAGCTGGAGCGCTCAAGGGCCAGGGTTTCCCAGTTCTCAGTGTTTGTTTCAGAGTTTTTAAGGTTGGCTTTGAGCCCATCTTTAAATCTCTTTTCCTGCCCACCAACATTGCATTTTCCATTCTTGAGTTCAGAGCAGAGCACCTGCTTTGGGAGATGGTGGTCAGGCATCCAAACAATGTGGCTAGTCCTGTGGAGTTGATGGCAGAGGACCATCGCTTCAATGCTGGTGGTCTTTGCTTCTTCCAGCATGCTAACATTTGTCTGCTTGTCTTCCCAAGAGATTTGCAGGATTTTCCGGAGGCAACACCGATGTAATCGTTCCAGGAGTTGCATGTGAGGTCTGTAGGCAGTCCACGTCTCACAGGCATATAGCAGGGTTGGGAGGACAATAGCTTTATAAACAAGCATCTTTGTCTCCCTACGGATGTCCCGGTCCTCAAATACTCTGTGAGATGTAACTATCCATAACTAAAACCCCTGCACCCCTTGATACAATCTTAGTGCAGCTGACTTTCAGAGAAGAAGGAGGGTCTGAGCAGAGATTAATGCTGAATAGGAACAAAGGACATAATAATAAATAAAATAATAAACTTTATTTATACCCCGCCATCATCTCCCCAATGGGGACTCGAGGCGGCTTACATGGGGCCAACACATTACAGGAAAATAAAAGCAAAGCATAAACAACAAAAAGCATCATCAAAATTACATAGAAAAAAAGTATAACATAGTCATAAAATAACATTCTAATAAACACAATCACAATAACAATGGGCAGGCCACATGTACAAGATAAAACGATTAAAATCTAATGAGATAAAAAATAGGAGCAGGTTATTTGCAGGGAACTCATAAAAACAAGCAGAGTTGTGAAGCTAAACTTCCCATTTGGAGGGCGTGTATTCCAGTGGCAAAAGCGTTTGAGTCCCCCTAAGGGTGAGAAAAGCGGTATAGAAATACTGTAAATAAATGTAAATAATAATGTCATGTTGTGCACCTACTCGCCAAAGGCGCAGCGGACATGAATAAGTTTGTCTTTTGTGCTCTGATCTGTTCTTTCTCTCTTTTCCTTCCAGCTGGTGATGGACGATTGAGTGAAAATGAAGTGGAGACATGCAGACTGCTCTCTGAAAGAGCCACATACAAACAGACAGAGGAGAATGGAAGAAACGAGAAGAGTGGGGAGAAAGCCTTGGCACAGGGTGCGGAGAGCAGTGGGATTTCAACGGGCGATGAAAAGGAATGTATTTATCTTCCGTCTGGGAGAAGCATCAGCTGTAAAACAAGCCTGAATTGTCGCACAGAAAGCAGTGAAGGAGAGATGTTGTTCAAAGGCGGCGATTACGGAGAGATTGCCAGTGTTTGGAAGGGCTTGATTTCCCATCAGACGATGCCGATGAACCCCGAGCTGTTCAAGTGCCTGGAGTGTGGGAAGAGCTTCAGCGAGAAGGCCCACCTCACTTCTCACCAAGCGGTCCACACAGGGGAGAAACCCTTCCCGTGCTTGGAGTGTGGAAAGAGCTTCACTCAGAGGTCGATCCTCACTCGCCACCAAACGATTCACACGGGGGAGAAACCGTTTGGTTGCTTGGAGTGCGGGAAGAGCTTTGGCCAGAAGGCAGACCTTACTCGCCATCAAGCCGTTCACACCGGGGTGAGGCCCTATAAGTGTTTGGAGTGCGGGAAAAGCTTCAGCCAGAAGGCGGACCTCACTTGTCACCAGAGAATTCACACTGGGGAGAAGCCGTTCAAATGCTTGGAGTGCGGGAAGAGCTTCAGCCAGAAGGCAAACCTCATTGGGCATAAAACAACTCACACAGGGGAGAAGCTGTTCAAGTGCTTGGAGTGCGGGAAGAGCTTCAGCCGGAAGACCAACCTCACTTGCCACCAAGCCATTCATACCGGGGAGAAGCCGTTCCAGTGCCTGGAGTGTGGGAAGAGCTTCAGCCAGAAGACAAACCTCCTTGGCCATCAAGCAACCCACACCGGGGAAAAGCTGTTCAAGTGCATGGAGTGCGGGAAGAGCTTCAGCCGGAAGACGCACCTCACTTGCCACCAGAGAACACATACGGGAGAGAAGCCGTTCGAGTGCTTGGAGTGCGGGCGCTGCTTCAGCCAGAAGTCTCTCCTCGTCCACCACGAGGCGACTCACACTGGGGAGAAGCCCTTCCATTGCTTGGAGTGTGGCAAACGCTTCAGCCAGAAGACCAAGCTCACGTACCATTTGAAAATGCACAGGGGGGAGAAACCGTTCAAATGCTCCCAATGCGAAAAGAGCTTTGGTCAGAAGTCGCTTCTTGTCCGCCACCAGGCCGTTCACACGGGGGAGAAGCCGTTTAAGTGCTCGGAGTGCGGGAAGAGCTTCAGCCAGAAGATCGATCTCACCCGCCATCAGATCATCCACACCGGGGAGAAGCCCTTCCAGTGCTCCGAATGCGGGAAGAGCTTCAGCTGGAGGAAAAGCCTCACTGCTCATCAGGCCGCCACAAACCACTGGAACGTCTCCGAGGTGGAAATCGTGACAGTCGGGGACGACGCCATATTTGACTCGAAAGAGTTTGTTCACATGAATGTGGAAAGTCCTCCCATCATTGCACACATCTTATGACATTCGCAGAAATTCACTCATAAGTAAAGGTAAAGGTTTTCCTCTGACAGTAAGTCCAGTCGTGTCCGACTCTGGGGGTTGGTGCTCATCTCCATTTCTAAGCTGAAGAGCTGGTGTTGTCCTTAGACACCTCCAAGGTCATGTAGCCGGCATGACTGCATGGAGTGCCGTTACCTTCCCACCGAAGCGGTATCTATTGCTTTTTGTTTTTTCATGTCAGGAGCGACTTGAGAAACTGCAAGTTGATTCTGGTGTGAGAGAATTGGTTTTCTGCAAGGACGTTGCCCAGGGAACACCCAGATGTTTTGATGTTTTACCATCCTTAGAATCATAGAGTTGGAAGAGACCTCATGGGCCATCCAGTCCAACCCCCTGCCAAGAAGCAGGAGCCTTGTGAGAGGCTTCTCTCATGTCCCTGCATGGGGAGCTGGAGCTGACAAAGGGAGCTCATCTGCGATCTCCCCGAATTCGAACTTGTGGTCTTCAGTCCTGCTGGCACAAGGGTTTAACCCATTGTGCCATCAAGGGCTCCTGTTATCAAATATGCTGTTATCAGTGAGAGAAGGAATAATGTAAATGTATTAAATCCTTTTTTTTCTGACATCAAAGAACCCAGGCAGAAAGAAGAGTGGATAAGTACATGAACTGGAAAATAAGCTTCAGTGAAAGATGGATTTTCATTTGAGGAATATTGACATGGGGTGACCTGACAAATGCTTGGCATGCGGAAATTCTGTTGTTGGATTTTATTGCTATTGCTGCACCAAAGGAACCACACATTTGAATTCATTGAGTGTGAAAAAAGCTCTTTTTAAGAGAGAATATCATACAAGGGAGATCCAGAAAGTAAGGTTACAAGATATTTTTAAAAATACAAAGAATAAATATATTTTAATCAAACTTACATGGATTGTAGCATAGGTATTACATTATTTTTCCACATAATCGCCATTCAGGTCAATACATTTTGTCATCTGTGGGATGAGTTTTGGATGCCTGTGTCATAGAAATTTCCCTCCACCTTTTTCAGCCAGTCCGTCACTTCGATTTTCACCTTGTTGTTGGAAAAGTGTTTTCCACCCAAGCGTTCCTTCAATTTAGTGAACAGATGATAGTCACTGAGTGTGAAGTCGGGGCTGTGAGAGGGGTGGCTTCAAACACCCCAACCAAATGAAGTCAACAGCTCTTGTGTTGCATGAGCGGTGTGCGGACATGCATTGTCATGAAGGAGACGGGCTCCTGCCGTCAACATCCCACGACGTTCGTTTTGGATGGCTCTGCGAAGTTTCTTCATGGTCTCACAATATATTCTGTACCCATTTTGTCACATGCTGTCTTAACATTATGTCCTCTCCATCAACTAAAACGATTTTGCGATGAATCACAGTGGTGTTCATGCCCTTAGGAGTTAGTTGGCGTATTACAGTGCAAACTTTGCACTTGGAGGGAAACTGAATGAGGATGCTCATCTCTAAACTTCACAATGCTAGTGGATGAGTTGCTGATGACTGGCACTGCTCGTTCGCTTCCACTGGCTTCCCACTACATGGCAGTGATACCAACTTCCCCCGAGAAAATTCCCCGTGAGTGCTATGTGCCTTGTAACCTTACTTTCTGGATAAACCATGTATTTTACATTCAAAAAACATAGTAGTAGATAACAAAAAGAGGGGACCTTTGTAGAGGATACCCCACATGATTAGATGTCAAACTGAGTTTTAACCAGAAACAAGCTTAACATGATTTTAGCCAGAGTCGGGATTTTACCGTTTCCTCAAGACCAGGATTAAATCTGCTCAACCATGGGTGCTTTTGAGCAAGCCACATTCTCTCAGCTTCAAAGGAAGGCAATGGCAAACTCGCTCTGAAGAAATCTTGCCAGGAAATCCCCACAATAGGGTCACCCTAAGTCAGAAATTACTTAATGGCATACAGTAAGTAATATGAATTTTAAAGATAAAGGTTTTCCCCTGGACATTAAGTCTAGTCATGTCCGACTCTGGAGGTTGGTGCTCATCTCCATTTCTAAGCCAAAGAACCGGCGTCATCCGTAGACACCTCCAAGATCATGTGGCCGGCATGACTGCATGGAGTGCCATTACCTTCCGGCTGAAGCGATACCTATTGATCTACTCCCACTTGCATGTTTTCAAACTGCTAGGTTGGCAGAAGCTGGGGCTGACAGTGGAAGCTCACCCCACTCACTGTATTCAAACCGCCAACCTTTTCAGTCAGCAAGTTCAGCAGCTCAGCTGCGCCACTGGGGGCTCCATGATTTTGAAACTCATAATTAATGTTGAGTCTATTGGATTACTAATCAACTTCTCTCCTGACAATATAAAGTTTTGTGGAAATTTCAAGTAGAGTAACTGAATTTGCTGGACACAAAATCATGAATTTGGAGATGTAAATAAGTAATTTGAACGGTAAGACATAGAAATATAAATGTGAGTACCAATGATTCCTAGGTGACAGCTACATAAAGGACAGTTTGGCGATGTGGGCTGGAACAGGGAATTCTGAATTTGAATCCACTCCTCAAGATCAAATGTTCGTTTTTGTGATGAAGTCTTGTAAAACGAAATGTTTTGTATACAATTGTAATTTAGAGATACTTTTGTCTTTGAGCAAGTAAAAATCTTATACTTCATTATCGGCTTGTGGTAGGCAATGTGTGCGATATGCAAACAGAAAAAAAGTTTCACATGCAGATTTACAGAAGTATTTACATATTTATCACTTACCTTTTAAGTAGTGAATTTTGATTTATTTTGTGTGAGGTTTGAGCACAAGTAATCTTATCTTACCTGAAGATTTAAGACTCTTTGGTGGGAAGAGTGTGAGGAGGAAGATCTGGCGTCACAGAGATGACCACAAACCTACTCGTTTTTCTGGGAGAAATAAGTAATTCTGAAGCATTGTTTTGTTGTTTTTTGGGTTGGTTGGATGGTGTTTTTTGCCTCTGCAAATGGAGGGTGATTATCAGGCAGTTTGGATCACTCAGATCCTCCTCCACAGCCTGGAGTAAATTTTGTAAAATAATAATAATGATGATCATTATCATCTTTATTTGTATCTCATCCCATCTCCCCGCCGGGGACTCCAGGCTGTTGTTAGTGAAATGACGTCCAGACTATTGTGACTTGATTTGTAACTAGATCAACAGGGCTTTCTGACTCCCAGGAGCTTAGAAGCAGCATCACAGAAGGTTCATTTTGATGGGCGAGTGGGTTTATAAACAAAAGACCCTCTCCATAAATGCACAGCAGAGTAACTTAGCAGCAGTGTGACCCAGCCTCAGTAGCCCAAAAGTAATAAAAAGAACAAAAACACACAGACCAATGTTATTTCTTCCGTAGGAGGCTCTTCTTTGTAGTAAAATAATATGGTTGTACTATTTACAAGAAGGTTTCCATGACACAAATAAAGTTCAACCTTCACACTGGAGCTTCACGCACGAGGCCTTCTCATACTGAGGCTTCTCTCACAGAGTGAGACCTTTCTCCCACTGAGGCAAACTAACACAGAGGCCTCCCACACTACAGACACACCTGCTTCTATAGAATTGCAGATTTTGCTGAGTCTTTGCATTCATTTAACCCTTTCAGTGCTTGAATCACATTTTTGTAATGGAAAATAATCTAGTTAATTTATAATATTTCTGACACACCCCCCCCCCCCCCCCCCGTTAACATGGAAAATGTAACTGAAAATGTTTCAAAACTCCTTTGGAACTCAGTATACACAGCATACATATCTATGCCATAATTGTGCTAGCCAAGAAGTGTGAGGATAGATGAAGATGAAAGACTTGGCAGTGAAGCAAAATGCTGTTTTGTGGTTTGGACCCCACCCCCTGCCATAAGTAGACCTGCTGGACCCACATCTCATGCAGTGTTTGCAAGCTTTTTTGTTTTTCCTATTACAGCTTCCAGAACAGAATAAACCCAGCGTAGTTTTTTGGATTTTCGGGAAATTGTAGTCCAATTCCTTGAGATATGGATTTTAAAGAACTGCAGATTCCCCACAATCGCCCTTTTCCAAGACGAGATTGTACGTGGTTTAATTGGGGCACATACGTATTCTTATTTAGATTGATTTGCATCAGTCAGTTCCATTAACAGACAAAAAAGATCTATATTGGTTGGTTGTTACAAGGTCCATAGATTGTATGAAGTTAGACCAAGTTAATCCAAAACCTCTCTAACAGTGATGGGATGAGTCTTTATTAGCCGTCTTTATTAGCCAAGATAATGAGTGGATGCAATATCTTAATAAAATTGCTATGATTATTGTCTCGTTTGTTTTCTCTCTCTCTCTCTCTCTTTTTGGCAAATTCATTCTCACTTAAGGCCAGGTTCCAGATTGCAGTTGTCATTGAACGATTGCTTCCTGTCTGGATTTCCAAAAGTCCACACTGACATATAATCTAGTTCAATGTAGATTTTATACAGCTTTGTGGAAGAGGCCCCATAATCTGATCCCAGGTTTTCTGCTTATCCTAGATTATCTGGCAGTGCAGACTCATATAATCCAGTTTAAAGCGGAAAGCCTGGGATCGTACCTTGGGATACAGGGCCTGTCTGGAAGAGCCCCGAGTCTGAAAATCAGGGACATATTGTTAGTGTAATGTGGGTCCTGCTGACCTCAGAGGAAGGAGAAAGCAAACCCCTCTCTGATCAAATCTTGCCAAGAAAACCCGTGTGATATATACATAGCGGGGCTGCCATAAGTGAAAAATAACTTGGGAGTCAACCAACAAGACTGGTCGCTTCTGATGTGAGAGAATCAGCCGTCTACAAAGACATTGCTCAGGGGATGCCTGGATGTGTTGCAATCCGGCTTCTCTCATTTCCTGCCAGGAAGTAGCACCCAATAATGAAAGGACCAAGGCATTGATATCTCCAGCCTGTCCCGTTCAAATACCAGCCAGTATGCCAACGCCTTAAAGCAAGAAATGGTTTTCTATGATCTACAAAGGTACTCGCAGGAACACCTCAGCAAGCGAGAGCCCAAAAGTGGCAGGCTAAAACTCTGAAACTCAATCCATGGTGCCTACCTTACAAGTTGGTGTAAAGGCAATAACAGGCCTGGCTTAGGAAAGCTATGGGGGGGGGGGGGCGGGGAGCAATTAGGCAGCTTCATAACTGGTGCAGTCTCATTTGCTGATGAAATTGGAGGGAGTTGCTTAGCAACCAGAGATGGGTAGAGCCAGAAGGAAAGAAAGGAGCGAATACAGCCAGAGTTCAGTTCGGCTTGGAGTTTGAGGGGTTAGATTAGGAGTTTTGAAGGGGAAGGAAGAGTTTTGGGAACTGTTATTCGAAAGGTACCTTTTTGAGGAAAGTAACTGAAGCCTTCGAGGAGAAGGGGTAAGCGATATAGTAGGCCTCTATAGTGTTAAGAGTGCTGGTGTGGAAAGAGGATTCAAAAGGTTCAAAATAACCTGTTTGTATTCCTGTGTGTGGAACATTGTTTTTAAGAAACTCATGATACAAATCCATTCTTTTTACAAGTAAAGCCTGACAGATTACTGAAACCACTACGCATCTTTACTTTACAAGAACAAAATAAACAGCATATGTGTGTGTGTCTTCTTGAACATTCTAGCAAGGAGGTGGCCTATGGATGAATAAATGGTGGCAGTTAAAGAAGCCTTAAAAATAAAATTGGTGACAGCAACGAAATATATAATATACAGTGGTAGCATCCCACTGTCCCGTCTTGTGTGTGTATGTGTGTGTCCCTTGTCCCTCTCGGCCTCGCTGGCCTGTTGTCCTTTTTATTCCACGTGGCTGATATCGGATGATACACCCCCCCCCCCCCACAGAAGAATGAATGACTTGGAAGGCGCCGAACAGACTGCGCTCTGGCACCACGAGATGCAGAGCCAACCTTAAGAAATGGGGCCACAAAGTGGAGTCCACAACATGCAAGTGTGGAGAAGAGCAACCCAAAGACCACCTATTGCAATGCAACTTGAGCCCTGCCACATGCACAATGGAGGACCTTCTCACAGCAAAACCAGAGGCACTCCAAGTGGCCAGCTACTGGTCAAAAGACATTTAATATAATGCCAAGTGTTCAAACTTTGTGTTTTTTGGTTCACTTCTGATATGATAAAATAACCAAGAAGAAAATACATCCCAAGTGAAAATGGAAGTGAGGGGAGCTATGGCCGTAAAGAGAGAAAGAATTGGTACACAAACACTAGTTATTTTAAAGAATGTAGACTTGAAGGCAAAGAACAAGACAATAATTCCAATAATGTTGAAAGAAAATATTTTTGAATTTTTTTTAAACTATTTATTTATTTGCAGTATTTATATTCCACCCTTCTCACCCCGCAGGGGACTCAGGGCGGATTACAATGTACATATACATGGCAAACATTCAATGCCATGTAAACATACAACATATATAGACAGACGCAGGCAATTTAACATTCCAGTTTTTCCGGCTTCATGAGAGTATGCTCGATTCTGGCCACAGGGGGAGCTGCTGCTTCACCGTCCACTTGTGACACCGAGTCCTTTGATGGAGTACTTCCTCATTCTTCTGCATGCTGCTGGAAGGCTTTGTAGCATAGTAAATTAGTTAAATTAGCCTCCCTGCAGAAAGCGGTATCTGCATTTCCTACTTAACAGATGCAGCTGTCTTTCGGGCTGCAAAGGTCAACAGCAAGCTAGACTATTAATTGTCAGGGGCTCACTCTGAACCAGGCTGGTTTCAAACTCATGATCTCTCAGTCACAGCCCGGTCCTACTACATTAACTACACAGCAAAAAAAACTTAGAAGGAAAATAAAAAGAAACCAACAATACAGTATTAATCTTGGTGTGAAAATCTATATATCACCAAGTGAGCATCACTGTTTGTGTCTATTCTCTTCCAGTAATGTCATAAAGGGAACCATATGAGCTGCCACTGATTCTTAGGAGGACTGGTAGGACTTAACTAATCCCTGAGGGTTGTCCCATCTCCCTGTTTTTACTGACAACAAAGGACTAAAATGCTGCATCAAGTGCTCTATCCCCAAGAACTGCAATAATCCTCTTCCCCCAGTGTTTCCAGAGAAGACTGGAATGACACTTCCGTTTGCCCCAAATGGAAGAGCAAGGTTGGAGTCATTACTCTTCTATCCTTTCCTTATGAAGGACTGCTAATCTATTTCACAGAATCACAGAATCACAGAGTTGGAAGAGATCTCGTGGGTTATCCAGTTCAACCCCTTGCCAAGAAGCAGGACAATCACATTTAAAGCACCCCAACAGATGGCCATTCAGCCTCTGCTTAAAAGCCTCCAAAGAACGAGCCTCCAGCACACTCTGGGGCAGGGAGTTCCACTGCTGAACGGCTCTCATAGTCAGCAAGTTCTTTCTAATGTTCAGATGGAATCTCCTTTCCTGTCATTTGAAGCCATTGTTCCATTGCGTCCTAGTCTCCAGGGAAGCAGAAAACAAGCTTGCTCCCTCCTCCCTGTGGCTTCCTCTCACCTATTTATATGTGCAGAGGTGCAGAGTCTTGTCATTCATCACAAACTGTGATGGTTAGGAGGCTTCCCCTCACCTATTTATACATGGCTATCATGTCTCCTCTCAGCCTTCTCTGCCGGCTCTTTGGCTTAGAAATGGAGATGAGCACCACCCCCAGAGCTGGACACAACTAGACTTAATGTCAGAGGAAAACCTTTATGTTTACTATCTACGTACCATGTATTATCTTGCTTTTTCTCTCTTAAAACACAGAGCAGCTCACAACATTAAAAAATATTACAATTTATAATAAAATTGAATAAAATCCATAAAACAGAAATACTAAAAAAGAATTAAACTAAATGGTTAAAATTCCTTTAAAACCCCTTAAAATCTGTTAAAATCAAGCTAATACCCTGGGCTTGCTCTTAAGAATTTTCGTCATATATAATTTACACACACATACATATATTTCATAATAATGTATGGCAGGCATCCTTATAGCTTGTGAGGTCTGTTAGAAACTGTTGCATCAACCAGCCAGGGTTTGAAGCTGCAAGGCCATTCAATGCTAATCAAGGTGCAACATTCACACTTGCCTCAAGCAGACAAGTTTTTTCTCCCACCCTGGACTTTCCACGGATATAAAAACCCCAAGTGCCTAGTTTCCAATAGACCTCTCAACCTGTGAGGATGCCTGCCATAGATGTGGGCAAAACGTCAGGAGAAAATGCTTCTGGAACATGGCCAAACAGCCCGAAAAACTCACAGCAATCAAGTTATAATTTATTGAGTTGTTCTTGATTTGTTTATTGATTTGCTTATAGAGTAATGTTGGCATTAATAATAATAATAATAATAATAATAATAATACTTTATTTATAACCCACCCTCTCTTCCCAAAGGGTGGTTTACAAAAAATAACATAATGGCAAACAGTCAATGCCCAAATACAGACAATCAAAGCAAAACATAAAATAACATAAGCTCAATACAACTTATAAACTAACTTCTAATACTTGGTATTAGAAAGTATTCAAACGGCATTGAATGTTTGGCATTGTGTATTTTGTTGTGAGCTGTCCTGAGTCCCTTTGGGGAGATAGGGAAAGCTATAAATAAAGTTTCATTTCATTTCAGAGTTTAAAACACATTTAAAGACCTCTCTCTTCTGTCAGGTCTACTGAATTGATCTTAACTTTGGAATTTGAATTTGCATTCTATTAGCATAAAGGATTTTAAGGTGTTTTAATCTTATGTCTGTAGACTTATAGAATCAAAGAGTTGGAAGAGACCTCATGGGCCACCCAGTCCAACCCCCTGCCAAGAAGCAGAAAAATCGCATTCAAAGCACACCCAACAGATGGCCATCCAGCTTCTGTTTAGCCATCTGTTGGGGGGGGGGGGGGCTTCAAATGTGATTCAAATCACATTTCAGAATATGTCTTTTAATGGCCTTATGATTCTATCTATATATTTTATCTGTGTTGTACCCCACTTCAAGCCTTGAAGGGAGGCAATATTATACCATGATTAGTATCATTATTTACAGTGGACTCTGCAGAAAATGCTCCATCTGTACTTCATTAGCAAGCTTTACAAATGCTGATTCTGCTTCACGGCGCTCTTTCCAGTTTCAGAAATCCCTCCCTTTGCATTTCGATTCTAAAAAAACTAAGTTTGGTTCATAAACCATACTTGATTGAATTAAAAAATGTCAGTCACCTGCCATTTAAAATGTTGCAGAAAAATATTTTCAGAGTTGGAAGAATCATAAAATCCTAGAATTGGAAGAGACCTCGTGGGCCATCCAGTCCAACCCCATTCTGCCAAGAAGCAGGAAAATCGCATTCAAAGCACTCCTGACTGATGGCCATCCAGCCTCTGTTTAAAAGCCTCCAAAGAAGGAGCCTCCACCACACTCCGGGGCAGAGAGTTCCAACTGTGAACAGCTCTCACAGGTAGGAACTTCTTCCTAATGTTCAGGTGGAATCTCCTTTCCTGTGGCTTCTCCCGTGTGAATTTTCTGATGACAAGTGAGGACATCCTTCCGAGTGAAGCCCTTTCCACACTCCGGGCATTCATATGGCCTCTCTCCTGTGTGGACTCTTTCGTGACGAATGAGGTGTGTCTTCTGACTGAAGTTCTTCCCACACTCCAAACACTGAAACGGTTTCAACCCCGTGTGAACCCTTTGATGACAGGTCAAGTGCGTCTTCTGATTGAAGCTCTTTCCGCACTCCAGGCACTTATATGGCCGCTCGCCTTTGTGAAGTTTCCGATGGCGCGTGAGGTCTGTCTTCCAGCTGAACTTCTTCCCACACTCCGTACACTGAAATGGTTTCTCCTTTGTGTGAGTGACTTGATGACGCGTGAGGCGTGCCTTCTGCTTGAAGTTTTTCCCGCATGCAAAGCATTTGCAAGACTTCTCTCTCGCGTGAGCTCTCTGGTGGGAAGCGAGGTTGACTTTCCAAGTAAAGCTCTTTCCACACTCCAAGCATTTAAAGGGTTTCTTCCCAGTATGGATTCTTTGATGACGAGTAAGGTGCGACTTCTGCCTGAAGCTCCTTCCACACTTCAAGCACTTGAAGGTCTTCTCCACTCGGCGAGTTGTTGGATGGTCACGGGCGCGTGCCTTCCAACTGAGGATCTCCCCACATTCTGAGCATTTAAATGATGTCTTCCCTTTATGGGACTCTTGGTGGGTATTCAGGCTCCACTTCCACAGGAAGCTCTTTCCACACTCCAAGCATGAGTATCGTTTCTCCCCCAGGTGCATTCTTTGATGGAAGGTGAGGAGCAGCTTCTGAGGGAAGCTCTTTCCACAATCCAAGCACTGAAATGGTTTCTCTCTTGTGTGAGTTGCTTGATGACAAGTCAGCTGCCTCTTCTTAGTGAAGCTCTTTCCACAATCGGAGCATTTAAATGGCTTCCGACTCTTCTTATTTCGTGGATGGGAAACTCGGCCTTTGCTAACTCTGGTGCTCTTTCCATACTCCCCATCTTTTGAAGGCGTTTCTCCCGTATCAGTTTTCTCAGGAGTATTAAGAATTTGTTTACAATTGAAGCATTTTTCACACAGGAGATGGATACTTTGATTCTTTGCTTTCCTTTTTTTATTTTTTTCTGAGGGTGGGATTTCACAAGCCTCCTCACCCTCAGAAGTTGGTGTTTTCTTCCTCTTCTTCCCAGAAGCGTTAGGGCTTCTTTCTTTCAGTTCCACCTGTTTACAGTCAACGCTTTTCGACAATTCCTTGTTTGGCTCCTCTCTGTTCTCTTCCAATTGCTCTTCACGACCTGCAAAGCATAAACAGAACTGGTCAGACCCTCAGAAAGAAAGGGAGCCTGGCCTCAGAGGGTCAGAACAATTGCTTAATTTACATTCACCCCATCCTTGGAGTCTTTCCTTTTATACTCTAAGCAGGACCTGTCTGGGTTTTTTTTTTTTTTCCATATCTTGGGATGCTATAGGTGTCAGACTCCAGAAGATCTTGGAGTTTAAATCAAGCTCACAACGTATTGTCGAAGGAATCACTGGGTTGTTGTAGGCTTTTTCGGGCTATATGGCCATGTTCTAGAGGCATTCTCTCCTGACGTTTCACCTGCATCTATGGCAAGCATCCTCAGAGGTAGATCTGGATACTAGACTCCTATTGATGCAGGCCAAAATCCTATTGGCTTTTTTTTGCCGCTGCATCACATTGTTGGCTCATGTTTAACTTGTTGTCCACGAGGACTCCAGAGGATGTTGCCCAGGGGACGCCTGGATGTGTTATCATCCTGTGGGCGGCTTCTCTCGTGTCCCCGCATGGAAAGCTGGAGCTGACAGACAGGAGCTCACCCCGCTCATTGGATTCCAACCACTGACCTATTGGTCAGCAGTCCTGTCGGCACAAGGGTTTAACCCATTGCACCACCGGGGCTCCGATGATGATTATGATATCCTATGATTCGGCATTCTAGGTCATTCAGAATCAGTTCTCTATATAAGCTCACTAGCTCACTATGCCCAGCCTTCCCCCATATTTGAACTTGACATCCACTCTAACCTTGACAAAAGGCTGTGAAGAGGCTACAAAACCAGCCAAAGTAAAACCGACCAAAAAGAAGAGCTCCATGTTTTGAAATACTGAACATTCAATTAAGTATTCGTGAATACTGCTGGGGAGGGGGGCATTTTTGATGAATCACAAAGGAAGAAATAGAATTACCCAGAGAAACCACAAGCCTGAAATTCTCTTCCATTGCTTCCCTGTGAAGCTCTTTTTGGTCTGGGTCCAGCAGTGGCAACTCCTCCTCCGTGAAATCCACATCCAACTCTTCACAATCCATCTAAAGAAAGACGTGACATTCATGAATGGAAATAGTCAAGCCCAACAGAAAATTAAATGTCGCTTGGAGCAGCCTGACCAGATTGCTCCAGGGAGGCCAGGGATAGCGAGAGCTCCAGGGATACTTCCCCTTACCTGACCCGCTGAAGTGCCATGAGGAGCATCCAAATCAGGAGATGGGTTAACACGTGTCGACTGCAACCTTGTTCTTCCTTCTGTAAGAAACACAACAGGAGAAAGGGGAAATAGTGAAACATCCTCCATATTTCTAACTAGTCTGTCCATGGCCACCAAACACAACACAAAACCAAGGCAATCAGAACATGGGGTAAATATGGGGTTCAGTACAGCTCCAAGTTTGATCTAGGTACCAAATATATAGAAATATATATGGCTCAAGAAAAACTACATGGCATCAAACGCAGCAGCATTGCCCAGACACGAATCAAGGAACATGAAAGGCAGTGCAGACTAACTCAACCAAATAAGTCAGCCATAGCAGAGCACCTGATGAACCAACCTGGACACAGTATATTATTTGAGAACACAGAAATGCTGGACCACTCTCACAACCACCATGTCAGACTACACAGAGAGGCCAGTGAAATCCACAAAAAGCATGTGGACAAATTCAACAGAAAGGAGGAAACCATGAAAATGAACAAAATCTGGCTACCAATATTGAAAAACTCTAAAAATCAGGACAGTAAATAAAGAGCAACACTCAGAAAATAGGGGAATTCCAGACAGGAAACAATCAGGGCCAGCTAACACCTCCCATCAAATGATTCCCCCAGACAGTAAGAAGCTAAACTTTGAAGCTGAAAGGTTATTCAATGCTAATCGAGGTGGCCAATTGCAACATTCATACCTGTCACAAACAGACAAGAGTTCTTTCTCCCACCCTGGACCTTCTACAGATATATAAACCCCACTTGCCTAGTTTCCAACAGACCACACAACCTCTGAAGATGCCTGACATAGATGCAGGCAAAATGTCAGGAAAGAGTGCTTCTGGAACATGCCTCTACAGCCCGGAAAACTCACAACAACCCAGTGGCCCCAGAATGTTTGGTTATTATTAACAAAAGACCCTTCCCATAAATGTACAGCAGAGTAACTTATTAGCAGCAGCGTGACCCAACACCAGTAGCCCAAAGTGATAAAAAGAACAAAAACACACAGACCAATGTTATCTCTTCCATAGGAGGCTTTTCTTTATAGCAAAGTAATATGGTTGCACTATTTACAAAAACAATGTTTACATAACACAAATAAACAAATACATAGTAGCTTTATATGCAGCAGCCTTCACACTGAAGGTTTCTTACACTGAGGTTTACCTCACACATCTCAGGACAACATTAACTTTGGCCCATTGACTCTAACACTATTTACAAAAACGATGTTTCCATAACACAAATAAAGTTCGACCCTCACACTGGATCTTCACACACGAGGCCTTCCTCACACTATGTTGCCTAATAACACTAAAGCCTATTCTTCTACTACCACTGAGGCCTTTTCTCCCACTGATGTGTTCTCTCACACACAGAGGCTTCTCTCCCACTGAGAACTCTCTCAGACTGAGACATTACTAAGCAACAGGCATGCCTGCTTATATTGAACTGCTACTTTGCTGAGTCATTGTATCCACTTAACCCTTTCAGTGCTTGACTCACATTTTTGTAATTACAAATATCTAGTTAATTTCTAATATTTCTGACAAGGGTACCATCTTTCTAAAGCAACCCTTCCATTCAGCTTTCCTTCCTGATATAATGGCAGGTCCAAAGTGTTGGATATGAATACCTGCTTAACAGCACAGCTACCAAGATCCCACAAATTTTGTGGTCAATTTGATAAGATGAAGCCAAGAATTTATTTACTCTATTTATACCTTTCTCTACCCCAAAGGGGGCTTACATAGAGGCAATTATTCAATACCTTAAAACATATGCGATTCAAAAAAAAATTAAAATTAAAATTGTGGGTTGTTGCAGATTTTTCGGACTATATGTCCATGTTCTAGAGGCATTTTCTCCTGACATTTCACCTGCATCTATGGCAAGCATCCTCAGAGGTAGATCTGGACACTACACTCCTATTGATGCAGGCCAAAATCCTATTGGCTTTTTTTTTTGCTGCCGCATCACATTGTTGGCTCATGGATGCTTGCCATAGATGCAGGTGAAACTTCAGGAGAAAATGCCTCTAGAACATGGCCATATAGCCCGAAAAAACCTACAACAACCCAGTGATTCCGGCCATGAAAGCCTTCAACAATAAAAAATTAAAATAGATTAAAATAAAAATATATTAATCATTTAAAAACATTACACAGAGCCCTTTTCATTCTTACCCACTGAGGTGGTGACTCTGTCACTCTCTGGCTTGACTGAATTGGTCTCAGAAGATTTCTCTGTGGTATTGGCTGTATCTTCCACAAGTACATCCTGCACCAAAAAGAAACAGGAAATAACACATTTAAAAAGGAAGAAATAAGAGGGCAGTGTCAAAATGAACCATTCACATGTATGAGTTTTACTAAATTTGGAGAAACAACAAAGACTTTTAAAATAGACTTCAAAATAAATCTGATCTGCTTTTTTTAAATGACCAGGATGAAACATGCTCACCTGCTCCTCATTCTCTTTTTCTTCATCTGCTTCGCTCAGGAGGAAGCCTTCAGCCAAAGCCACCGCCTGGCAACTGGTCTCTGCCCCGCACTCCCTCACCCAGCGCTCCATATCCGGAGGGAGGACAGCCAGGAACTGCTCCAGGACTACCAGGTCCAGCATCTCCGCCTTGGTGTGCTTCTCTGGCTTCAGCCACTGGGAGCAGAGCTGGTGGAGCTGGCTGCAAACCCTTCTGGGTCCTTCTGCCTCCTTGTAGCAGAACTGCCTGAAGCATTTCCGCGATCTTTCCAAATGGAGCACATCCTTTCCCAGGATCTTCTGTGCGGTTTTCCCTCTAAAGGTTCTCCTACGCTTAATCTGAACAGGAAGAGGGCCTTTACCCCGGCTGGGCCCAACATAATGTCGCCTTCCCATCTTCAGAGGTGGGTTCCAAGATTTTTCATTATTTCCTGATGTTCCTGCAAGGCAAACGCTTAGTGAAGACTACTGGGGGGGAGATGATTTGGGGGTGGGGGTGGGGGGGAACGGAGCAAGCAAGATGTTTGGTAAAGGAGATACACAGAGTGCCTTTGTAGCTGCAATCAAATAGAAATAATCAAGAGACAACTTTACCACAGTCTCAGCCATACAGAAATCATAGAGTTGGAAGAAACCACAGGGGCCATCTCACCCAACCCCCTTCTATGCAGAAAAAGCATAATAAAAGTACCTCTGACAGCCTCTGTTTAAAGCAGTGGTTCCCAACCTGTGGTCTGTGGACCACCAATGGTCTACAAAAACAAAAATATGGTCCACGGCCTCACTATTACTACACCTTTGCATTGAAACCACGCTGCAACGAGAGCAATTGGTCTCACGAAACCCTCTTATAGTGCTGAGGCAATGGGGATGTCAGGTGTGGAGAGACTGACTACCCACGAAATATTACTGCTACCACATCAGCTCTAGATTATTAAATATGGTTTTCTGTGGGTAAGCAGATGGCGACTACTGGATGGCATAGGTTCTATATTGGAAACTAGAGCTGATGTGGTCTATCCAGTTCATTTTTCTGAATCTGCACCTCAAATAACCAAACTGAATCTAAAGTTGACCAAAAACTGTTTTGTAGCCATTTTGGTAATAATGTTGGAGAGTGGTCCCTGGTCAAAAAAAGGTTGGGAACCACTGGTTTACAGTCTCCAAGGAAAGAGCTTCCACCACACTCGGAGGCAGAGAATTCCACTGCTGAACAATTCTTATAGTTGGACGTTCTTCCGAATGTTTTGGTGGAATCTCCTCTCCTGTAATTTGAATCTGGGTCTTATTTATTTATTTATTTCAAACATTTATATCCCGTCCTTCTCAACCCCCGAGGGGGGACTCAGGGCGGCTTACATCTGGCAACCATTAGATGCCAATAGCAACAAACAATCACAGTACAAAACAAAAGAATATTAGATAAACAACAACATTATAAATATACATTAAAATATTAAAACAGAACCAAGTCCAAATCCAAATCAGAGTCCGAGGTCTTTCCATTGTCAGTTCTCATAAGCCTCTGCCATTACTGCTCGGTCAGCTGTCCTAATGCTTGGTCCTAAAGCCATGATTTGAGCTTTTTTTCGAAAGGAGAAGAGAGAGGGAGTCGCCCTGATTTCACTGGGGAGTGTGTTCCATAGACAGGACGCCACCACCGAGAAGGCTCTGTCTCTCATCCCCGCCAATCACGCTTGCGAGGGTGGCAGGATCGTAAACTCCAAGGTGGATCATAGAGGGAGATACGTTCGGACAAGTAAACTGGTCCAAAACCGTATAGGGCTTTATAGGTCAAGATCAGCACTTTGAATTGTGCTCAGCAATGGACTGGCAAACAGTGGAGCTAACATAACCGGCGGGGGGCGGGTATGCTCCCTGTATATCACTCCAGTTAGTAATCTGGCTGCCGACCGTTGGACTAGTTGGAGTTTCTGAACAGTCTTCAAAGACAAACCCATGTAGAGTGCATTGCAATAATCTACTCGAGATGTAACAAGAGCATGGACCAACGTGGCCTGATCAGTCTCCAGAAAAGCAGAAAACAAGCCTGCTCCCTCTTCCTTATGACAGCCTTTCACATATTTATACATGGCTACCATGTCTCCTCTCAACCTTCTTTTCTGCAGGCTAAACAGACCCAGTTCTTTATGAATGCTCCTCAGAGGGATTCATGGTCTCCAGACCTTTGATCATTTTACTCACCCTCCTCTGGACACCTTTCCAACTTGTCAATATCTCTTTTAAACTGTGGTGCCCAGAATTGAACATAGTATTCCAGGTAGAGATCTAACCAGAGCAGAAGAGAGAGGCTTCCCTCTAGACCAGGGGTCCTCAAACTAAGGCCCGGGGGCCAGATACAGCCCTCCAAGGTTATTTACCCGGCCCTCGCTCAGGGTCAACCTAAGTCTGAAACGACTTTGAAGCACACAACAACAACAATCCTATCTCATCAGCCAAAAGCAGGCCCACACTTTCCATCTGAACACGAGGAAGAACTTCCTGACTGTGAGAGCCGTTCAGCAGTGGAACTCTCTGCCCCGAGTGTGGTGGAGGCTCCCCCTTTGGAAGCTTTTAAACAGAGGCTGGATGGCCATCTGTCAGGGGTGATTTGAATGCAATATTCCTGCTTCTTGGCAGATGGGGTTGGACTGGATGGCCCATGAGGTCTCTTCCAACTCTTTGATTCTATGATTCTATGAATCGACTTGAGTATCTGATCAGCCAAAAGCAGGCTCACCATTCCCATTGAAATACTGGTAACGCACTGGTGTTCACTACATAGAATCATAGAATCATAGAATCAAAGAGTTGGAAGAGACCTCATGGGCCATCCAGTCCAACCCCCTGCCAAGAAGCAGGAATATTGCATTCAAATCACCCATGACAGATGGCCATCCAGCCTCTGTTTAAAAGCTTCCAAAGAAGGAGCCTCCACCACACTCCAGGGCAGAGTTCCACTGCTGAACAGCTCTCACAGTCAGGAAGTTCTTCCTCATGTTCAGATGATATCTCCTCTCTTGTAGTTTGAAGCCATTGCTCCGCATCCTAGTCTCCAGGGAAGCAGAAAACAAGCTTGCTCCCTCCTCCCTGTGGCTTCCTCTCACATATTTATACATGGCTATCATATCTCCTCTCAGCCTTCTCTTCTTCAGGCTAAACATGCCCAGCTCCTTAAGCCGCTCCTCATAGGCTTGTTCTCCAGACCCTTGATCATTTTAGTCTCCCTCCTCTGGACACATTCCAGCTTGTCCAAGATTTTTTTCTCACATGGACTGTTGTTGAGTCGAACATCACCCTCCGAGTATCTTTGCATTTCATTTTTTCCTGTCTGAGTGTAGTATCTTGCATTTGTCCTTATTGATATTCATTTTGTTAGTTTGGGCCAACCAGCTCTCTCATCTGTGATGGTCTTTTTGCATTCTGATCCTGTCTTCTGGAGTATTAGCTCTCCCTCCTGGTCTGATTTGGTGTCATCTGGAAATCTGATAAGCATGCCTTCTAAGCCTTCATGGGTGTAGAGCAGGCCTGGGCCCACTTGGGCCCTCCCTCCCTCCAGGGGTTTTGGACTTCAACTCCACAATTCCTAACAGCCTACCTTCTGTTAGGAATTGTGGGAGTTGAAGTCCAAAACCCCTGGAGGGAGGGAAGGCCAAGTGGGCCCAGGCCTGCATCAATGTATCAGGGTCTCCCCAACTCGAAAAAGAAAGGAAGGCCTAACTCACCTCCGCCTGGCAGCCCCGCCGGAAGTCTTGCCACATTGCTACTAGGAAGGATGATATCACTTCCGCCACCTCCTAGCCGGAAGGGACGGGGCCAAGGCCCAGAGTGACACCCAGCAGGAAGGCGGGACCTCTTTACCGGAAGAAGGCAGGTTCACACTTCCGCCTCTGCTTGGCCCCGCCCCTTCCTTGCATTCCTCTCTTCTAGTGAGCAAGCCAGGGTTTTCCCTTCGCCTCCCACATTCCTGAAGCCAGAATTATTGGCTTTACCAAACCTAGAAGGGCCTACACCAGGCTTAGGCCAACTAGGGGTTTTGAACTTCAACTCCCACCATTCCTGACAGATGGAATGGTGGGAGTTGGAGTCCAAAACCCCTGGAGGGCCCAAGTTTGCACAAGCCTTCAATCACGAAATAGTTTTCTAAGATCTACAGAGAATACCTCAGCAAGCAAGAGTCCAAAAGTGGCAGGCTAAAACCCATCCCGTTCGGATATTAGCCAGCACACCAACGCCTTCAATCAAGAAATAGTTTTCTAAGATCGACAGAGAACATCTCAGCAAGCAAGTGTCCAAAAGTGACAGGCTAAAACCCATCCCCTGTTCGGATATTAGCCAGCACGCCAACACCTTCAATCAAGAAAGTTTTCTAATATCTACAGAGAACACCTCAGCAAGCAAGAGTCCAAAAGTGGCAGGCTAAAACCCATCCCCTGTTCGGACATTAGCCAGCACGCCAACGCCTTCAATCAAGAAATAGTTTTCTAAGATCTACAGAGAATACCTCAGCAAGCAAGAGTCCAAAAGTGGCAGGCTAAAACCCATCCCGTTCGGATATTAGCCAGCACACCAACGCCTTCAATCAAGAAATAGTTTTCTAAGATCGACAGAGAACATCTCAGCAAGCAAGTGTCCAAAAGTGCAGGCTAAAACCCATCCCCTGTTCGGACATTAGCCAGCACGCCAACGCCTTCAATCAAGAAATAGTTTTCTAATATCTACAGAGAACACCTCTGCAAGCAAGAGTCCAAAAGTGGCAGGCTAAAACCCATCCCCTGTTCGGACATTAGCCAGCACGCCAACGCCTTCAATCAAGAAATAGTTTTCTAATATCTACAGAGAACACCTCTGCAAGCAAGAGTCCAAAAGTGGCAGGCTAAAACCCATCCCCTGTTCAGATATTAGCCAGCACGCCAACGCCTTCAATCAAGAAACAGTTTTCTAAGATCTACAGGGAATACCCCAGCAAGCAAGAGTCCAAAAGTGGCAGGCTAAAACCTATCCCGTTCGGGTATTAGCCAGCACGCCAACACCTTCAATCAAGAAATAGTTTTCTAAGATCTACAGAGAATACCACAGCAAGTAAGAGTCCAAAAGTGGCAGGCTAAAACCCATCCCGTTCGGATATTAGCCAGCACGCCAACACCTTCAATCAAGAAATAGTTTTCTAAGATCTACAGGGAATACCTCAGCAAGCAAGAGTCCAAAAGTGGCAGGCTAAAACTGGAAACCTCAAGCCATGGTTGATACCAAATGAAAGACTTCCCCCTGGGCACAGAGAAGACTGGAAGACTTGGAAGGTACTGAACAATCTGCGCTCTGGCATCGCAAAATGCAGAGCCAACCTTAAGAAATGGGGTCACAAAGTGGAGTCCATGACATGCGAGTGTGGAGAAGAACAAACCACCGACCACCTACTACAATGCAGCCTGAGCCCTGCCACATGCACAATGGAGGACCTCCTTGCAGCAACACCAGAGGCACACCATGTGGCCAGCTACTGGTCAAAGGACATTTAATAGAATGCCCAGTTTTTAAACTTTGTATTTTCTCAAATACATCACAATTGTACCCTTGGTTTGCTCCTGATATGATAAATAAATTGGGTTGCTGTTAGTTTTCCAGACAGTATGGTCGTGTTCCTGAAGCATTCTCTCCTGCTGTTTCACCTACATCTATGGCAGGCATCGTCAGAGGTAAAATCCTCACAACCTCTGAGGATACCTGCCATAGATGTAGGTGAAACATCAGGAGATAATGCTCCAGGAACATGGCCATACAGCCCAGAAAACTCATAGCAACCCAGTGATTCCAGCCATGAAAGCCTTCGACAACAGATGTTAAATTGTTAACAACCAGTTTTAAAATATAATAGCATAGGGCAGTGCTTTAAATGTGGGATGGCTCAAGAGATCGGAGCTTGAACCTCTTCTCAGCTGTGGAAATCCACTGGGTGACCTTGGGCAAGGCTCTCTCTCAGCCTCAGAGAAGGAGAAAGCAAACCCCTTCTGAGCAAATCTTAAGAAAGCCTTTGCAAAAAGGAGATGGACTTCCGGTGGTACAATGGCGATTGATGCAACACCCTGAGGGTACTCAAAGGTGGGAGTGTTGCAAAGCGACTGGGTAGAGCTTTGGCTCCCTCTCCTCTGTGGACTGAAGCAGGGGAAACTGCAAAACAAGCAGGGCACCTTACCGATGGTCCGAAAGCGGGTATTCCTCTCGAGTGACTCAAAAGGATGTGGGCAGGGTGCCCACAGAGGAAAGCGGGTCGCAGCAACATGCTCCGGTGCTCCAAGGAGCAGTGAGCAATGATTAACCAGCGTGCATTTTCAATATTAGAAAGGAGAGGAGAAATCCACACATGAAACTGTGAGTAACTAATCTGTGAGTATCCATCTGCAGGGGGAAGAAGGCTACCCCTAAAGAGAGGAAGAGGGGAGAGGAGAGAAAAGGGGCGAGTAAATGTCAATCTACTAACAAACTTGAACAATAATAATTATAACCAAATTTGAATCCAGAGGGCGATCAGAATGATCAAGGGTCTGGAGAACAAGCCCTATGAGGAGCAGCTAAAAGAGCTGGGCATGTTTAGCCATCAGAAGAGAAGGCTGAGAGGAGTCATGAAGAGAGCCATGTATAAATATGTGAGAGGATGTCATAGGGAGGAGGGAGCAAGCTTATTTTCTGCTGCCCTGGAGACTAGGACGCAATAGAACAATGGCTTCAAACAACAAGAAAGGAGATTCCATCTGAATATTAAGAAGAACTTCCTGACTGTGAGAGCTGTTCAGCAGTGGAACTCTCTGTCCTGAAGTGTGGTGGGGGCTCCTTCTTTGGAGGCTTTTAAACAGAGGCTCGATGGCCATCTGTCGAGGGTGCTTTGAATATGATTTTTCTGCTTCTTGGTCACGGGGGGGGGGGGGGGCATGTTGGACTGGATGGCCCATGAGGTCTCTTCCAATTCAATGATTTTCTATGAATGACTGATCTAATATTGAACTAACGATTCTCTATGGAGAGAGGTCAAGGGAAAAGAAACCAACAACACAATAATTCCAGATGAAAATGGAATGATGTCGTAAGGGGAGCTACAGCTGGCATATGAACATTAGCAAGTTTGAAGAATTAAGAAGGCAAACAAGTCAACAATTTCAATAACATTGAAAGAAAGTATGTTTACAAAAATATATTTCAACTTTTAATGACATCAACATTAGAGCAAAATATCCAGGTTCAATATTATTATATTTATTTATACCCCTCTTTAAGGAGATATATATATAGAAGGAAAAGAAACAGAAAATGAACCAACAGTATGGTATGAATCTCGATGTGAAGATCTATACAGCAAGTGCACATTAGTATGTTCATATGTCTCCTGACTAGTTGTAAAGACAACCGTGTGATCCTCAGGACACATCCGATTCTTAGTAGGACCAATGAACCAATGGGACACTAAGTAACCTCTAAGAGTTATTCTGCCTTGCTGTTCTACTGCCAAAATAGGACTGTAAAATGCTGTATCAAGTGCTCTATCACCAAGAACTGCAATAGCCCTCCCTTCCCAGTGTCTCCAATGCAGACTGGAATGACATTCCATTTGCCCCAAATGGCAGGTGTAATGTCTCTTCCAGTCTCCATTATCCAGTCTCCCAAAATGGCTGCCTTGACAATGATCAGCAGAACTCAGGGGCACCAAAGCAACCCAAAATCTGGTGATAGAAACACCTCAGCTCTGTTGTGATTTGAGCGGCTACTTTGTTGTATGAGTTCCTTGGTGGCAAATCAGATGTGACTTCCGACGAAAGCTCTTTCCGCACTCTAAGCAGGTAAAGGTTTTCTCTCCCGAGTGAACTCTTTGATGATTGGTGAGATTGATCTTCTGCCTGAAGCTCCTTCCGCACTCCAAACACTGAAAGGGCTTTTCTTCTGTGTGAACTCTTTGATGGCGCGTTAGGTTTGTCTTCCGAGTAAAGTTCCTTCCGCACTCCAAACACTGAAATGGTTTCTCACCAGTGTGGAGTCTTTGATGACTGGAGAGGTCTGTCTTTTGACTGAAGCTTCTCCCGCACTCCATGCAAGTAAATGGCTTCTCTCCTGTGTGAACTCTTTGGTGGCGAATGAGGTCTGTTTTCTGACTGAAGCTCTTTCCACACTCCAGGCATTTCAACTGTGTATCTACAGAGTGAATTCTTTGATGAAAAGTGAGGCGAAGTTTTTGAGAGAAGGCCTTTCCACACTCCGAGCACTGAAAAGGTGTCTCTCCTGTGTGAGTTGCTTGATGACAAGTCAGCTGCCTTTTTCCAGTGAAGCTCTTTCCACAATCTGAACATTTAAATGGCTTGTGGCTTTTCTGATTTGCTGGATGGGAAAACTGGTCTTTGCTAACTCTGCTGATCTTTTCCCACTCGTTGATTTTAGAATACACTCCTTCTGTGTGAATACTCATATGAGAATCAAAATTTGGTCTACAACTGAAGTTCCTCCTACAAACAGATATATTTACTTCCATTTCTCTCTGGGCTATTTCTGGGATTGTGATTCCAGGGACCACCCCACTCTCAGAAGCTGATGCTTCCTTCTTCCCTTTCCCATCAGCATCAAGTATTATTCCTTTTGGTCCAATTTCTTTCCATTTGCCTCTTTTGAACAGGCTCCTGCTTGGTCCCTCTTCCTTCTCCTCCAGTTGCCCATCAGCACCTAGAACACAGAGATAGAGCTGGTCAGAACCTCAGAGGGGAATGGAGCCTGGCCTCAGTTGCCACCCATTTGGGTGAGCACGCCTCAGTTCCTCAGTTACCACCCATTTGGGTGAGCACGCCTGATTCTTTCCATGGCTCTTCTGTAGAGGGAAGAGGTCTACTGAGCCCCTCCTTCAACTTTTTCCACAGACAATAGTTATTTATTATTTATTTATTTTATTTACAGAATTTATATGCCACCCTTCTCACCCCGAAGGGGACTCAGAACGACTTACAAGAGAGATATATATATACATACATAGATACATAGACAATATATTAAATTATTGGCATAGTACAATATCAGTATTATATATTACTATATTGTACTATACCATTATATTGTAATATTATTAGTAATATTACATGTAATATAAAATATATAATTATAATATTGTATTATTATTAGTAGTAGTATTATATTGTATTACATTATAATATTATAAATATTATATGTATTTGAAGGACTAGTTTTAGTAAACAGAGTCCCAGAAGAACTATGGACAGAAGTCCGAGACATTGTTCAGGAGGCGGCAACAAAGTACGTCCCAAAGAAAAAGAAAACCAAGAAGGCAAAATGGTTGTCTGCTGAGACACTGGAAGTAGCCCAAGAAAGGAGGAAAGCAAAAGGAAACAGGGATAAGGGGAGATATGCCCAGTTAAATGCGCAATTCCAGAGGTTAGCCAGAAGAGATAAGGAACTATTTTTAAATAAGCAATGCATGGAAGTTGAAGAAGAAAACAGAATAGGAAGGACAAGAGACCTCTTCCAGAAAATTAGAAACATTGGAGGTAAATTTCAGGCAAAAATTGGTATGATAAGAAACAAAGATGGCAGGGACCTAACAGAAGCTGAAGAGATCAAGAGAAGGTGGCGACACTATACAGAAGATCTGTATAGGAAGGATAATAATATCGAGGATAGTTTGGACGGTGTGGTGAGCGAATTAGAACCAAACATCCTGAGGAGTGAGGTTGAATGGGCCTTAAGAAGCATTGCTAACAACAAGGAGCAGGAGATGACGGGATCCCAGCTGAACTGTTTAAAATCTTAAAAGATGATGCTGTCAAGGTGATGCATGCCATTTGCCAGCAAATATGGAAAACACAAGAATGGCCATCAGACTGGAAAAAATCAACTTATATCCCCATACCAAAAAAGGGAAATGCGAAAGACTGCTCAAACTTCCATACAGTGGCCCTTATTTCTCATGCCAGTAAGGTAATGCTCAAGATCCTGCAAGGAAGACTCCAGCAATACATGGAGCGAGAGTTGCCAGATGTTCAAGCTGGGTTTAGAAAAGGCAGAGGAACCAGAGACCAGATTGCCAATATCCGCTGGATAATGGAGAAAGGCAGGGAGTTTCAGAAAAACATCTACTTCTGCTTCATTGACTATTCTAAAGCCTTTGACTGTGTGGATCATAATAAATTGTGGCAAGTTCTTGGTGGGATGGGCATCCCAAGCCACCTTGTCTCTCTCCTGAGGAATCTGTACAAGGACCAAGTAGCAACAGTCAGAACTGACCACGGAACAACAGACTGGTTCAAGATTGGGAAAGGCGTACGGCAAGGCTGCATCCTCTCACCCAACCTTTTTAACTTGTATGCAGAACACATCATGCGATGTGCGGGGCTGGATTAATGCAAAGCTGGGGTGAAAATTGCTGGAAGAAACATTAACAACCTCAGATATGCAGATGACACCACTCTGATGGCCGAAAGCGAGGAGGAGCTGAGGAGCCTTCTAATCAAGGTGAAAGAAGAAAGCGCAAAAGCCGGGTTGCAGCTAAACGTCAAAAAAACCAAGATTATGGCAACAAAAATGATTGACAACTGGGAAATAGAGGGAGAAACCGTGGAGGCCGTGACAGACTTTGTATTTCTAGGTGCAAAGATTACTGCAGATGCAGACTGTAGCCAGGAAATCAGAAGACGCTTACTTCTTGGGAGGAGAGCATTGTCCAATCTCGATAAAATAGTAAAGAGTAGAGACATCAGACTGGCAACAAAGATCCGCCTAGTCAAAGCCATGGTATTCCCTGTAGTAACCTACGGATGTGAGAGCTGGACCATAGGGAAGGCTGAGCGAAGGAAGATAGATGCTTTTGAATTGTGGAGGAAAGTTCTGAGAGTGCCTTGGACAGCGAGAAGATCCAACCAGTCCATACTTCAGGAAATAAAGCCCGACTGCTCATGGAGGGAAGATACTAGAGACAAAGTTGAAGTACTTTGGCCACATCATGAGGAGACAGGAAAGCCTAGAGAAGACAATTATGCTGGGGAAAGTGGAAGGGAAAAGGAAGAGGGGCGACCAAGGGCAAGATGGATGCATGGCATCCTTGAAGTGACTGGACTGACCTTGAAGGAGCTGGGGGTGGTGACGGCCGACAGGGAGCTCTGGCGTGGGCTGGTCCATGAGGTCACGAAGAGTCGGAGACAACTGAACGAATGAACAACAACAACATAAATATTATATTTCCACAGACAATAGTTATTTATTATTTATTTATTTTATTTACAACATTTATATGCCGCCCTTCTCACCCCGAAGGGGACTCAGAGCGTCTTACAAGAGAGATAAATATATATACATACATAGATACATAGACAATATATTAAATTATTAGCATAGTACAATATCAGTATTATATATTACTATATTGTACTATACCATTATATTGTAATATTATTAGTAATATTACATATAATATAAAATATATAATTATAATACTGTATTATTAGTATTAGTATTCTATTGTATTACATAATATTATAAATATTATATGTATATTCAATATATTATATTACATTATATTATTAGTAAAGCACAGGAGACAAGATGGAACAGTCTTCTTCCTCCCTCTCTCTTCACTCTGGCCAGAGCAGCAAGTAAGTTACAGAAGTAAGTTATAAGATTTCATAGCCCGAAGAACCGGTGGTGGCTTAAGCTGGTTTCCCCTTCTTCTCCACCGGATCCCCTTTTTCTCCCTTGGGGTCTTTCTTTTTATACTGTAAGGCAGCGGTTCCCAACCTTTATTTTTACCAGGGACCACTCTCCAATATTAGTACCAAAAGGGTTACGAATCGGTTTTTGGTCAACTTTAGATTCGGTTGGTTATTTGGGGTGCTGATTCAGAAAACTGCATTGGATAGACTGCATCGGTTGGGACCCCCCTCCCCCCCAACACCAACTGCTGCTCTGGGCCAGAGTGAAGAGAAAGGGGGCCAGGAAGCCAGTTCCACCTTGTCTCCTGTGCTATGCTAATAATATACTATATTGTTTATACATATAATATTTGTAACATTATAATGTAATACAATGTAATACTACTAATAATACAATATAATAATAATAATAATAATAATAATAATAATAATAATATATTATATTATAATTGGGGAGGCACATATTTGAGGAATTACCCAGAGAAAACAGAAGCTTGAAAGTCTCTTCCATGACTTCCCCGTGAAGGGCCCTTTGGCCCGCGTCCAGCAGAGCCCACTCCTCCTCTGTGAAATCCACAGGTATGTCCTCAAAGGCTACCTGAAAAGAAACAATGGATTCATGAGCTGGAAGTGTCCTAATATAAAGGCCTGGAGTAGCCTCATTGGATTTTAACCTTTAAACAAGACCTTCAGAGTGGGTCATCTTCAATTGAGAGGGAGATTCCTCCTCCGTGCCCAGGAAAAGCGTCAGGGATAACCAGCCCTCCAGGGACCCTTCCCCTCACCTGATTCAGCTCCACTGAAGCTGAATCATAATCAAGAGATGGATTTGTAAATGTGGGTTGCATCCTTGTCCCTTCTCCTGTGAGGGACACAGAAAGGAGAAAGGCAAGTTATGAACGGAAGTCTTTCCATATCCTCCCAAACACAAGACAGAACCAAGACAAATACATGTAGGAGAGATGTGGGACTTAGAACAGCCTCTTGTTTGGTGGGGAACCAATATCCTTAGAAATATATGCAAGCCATAACAGAAAGACTCAGCTCAAAGAAAAGAACATGACCCCAGTATGTTTTGTTATTTCTTGACTTCTTTGAGCCCTTCCTCTGTTGTCTCTCCACTCACAAGGCCCTCAATGTAATATATAGTGGGGTAAATAGCCTTTGTTTGTGTCTTTCTTTGTATATGATTGTAAAGGCATTGAATGTTTGGCTATGTATGGAAATGCTGTAATCTGCTCTGAGTCCTCTAGGTGGGAAGGGGGGAATATAAATAGTGTATTATTATTATTATTATTAATAATAATAATAATTTAGAACATTAATTAAATATTTAAATAAAAATATTTATAATCCAAGCAAAACTCCTGCTGAAAAGTAATATAAAGTCAAATTGACTTAAGAGGAGTCAATGAAACACTAGTGAAAAGAAAAAGGTTGGTCTAAAAGAAAGGTGAGTATTTTTTTAAAAGCACAGAAAACAAAATTGGTTGCTATTATAAGTCATATTACAGTGTCACAATGAGCATTTATTTTTAACTAGACACCCCCTGCCACGCATTGCTGTGGCTCAGTCTGTATATATGTTCTTTGTGTGTGTATATGTGTATATATGTGTGTTTGCGTATATATGTGTGTGTGGTTTTGCACATGCATTGTAATGTATTCTTTATTTTATTTTTTGCTTTTTAAGTCTCTTCTGCTATGTTTTTCAGTGTTTTTATGAGTGATGGTCACTCGTTGGCCTGATACGTGTATTGTGTCCAAATTTGGTGTCAATTCGTCCAGTGGTTTTTGAGTTATGTTAATCCCACAAATGAACATTACATTTTTATTTATATAGATTTCCATTGGGGAGAGAAATTAGAACTTCCTTAAGAGTTTCCATCCAAACTCATATCTAGTAGATGCAGAAAAAGAAAATAAAACCAGTTCCTCAATGGGAGAGGAATACTGACAGGGATGAGGAGATGGTGGAGAACAGTCCTTGGAATTGGAGGGAAAGGAATACAGAAAGCCACACTGCCTACATATTTTCAACACACTTGAGAGAAAAGGGCCAAAGATAAAAGATTACATTCTCACCCAATGAAGTAGAGACTCTGTCCCAGTCTGGCAGGACCCAACTAGTCCCAGATGAACACTGAATCGCCTTGGTCTTCTCTTCTGTAAACAAATCCTGCACCAAAAGCAATAGGAAGAATCACATTAAGAAAAGAATGGAGGATTTATTAATTATTTATTTATTTACAGTATTTATATTCCGCCCTTCTCACCCCGCAGGGGACTCAGGGCGGATTACAGTGTACACAAATATGGCAAACATTCAATGCCAATTTGACATACAACGTATACAGACATACACAGAGGCTATTTAACTTTTTGTGGCCGCCAGGGGAGCTGTCGCTTTCATTGTCCATCTGCAACACCAATGAAGTACTTCTGCATTCCCCGCATGCTTTGCTGGAGTGCTTTGCTGGAATCTTTTTTATGGCCTCATAAAATTAGTTAATTTAGCCTCCCCACACAAGGTGGTACCTAATTTTCCTACTTGACAGATGCAACTGTCTTTCGGGTTGCAAAGGTCGACAACAGGCTACACAATTGTTTGGAAGCTCACTCCAACCCGGGCTGGCTTCAAACTCATGACCTTTTGGTCAGAGTGATTTTAATGCAGCTGACACTCAGCCAGCTGCGCCACAATCCCGGAGGAGAACAAAATCAGGGTAGATTGCACATGCTTTGAAGGATTTCAAGAAAAAATTGGACGTACAGCAGGGAATTTGAAAATATCCTTCAGAAACAGCACTCCAATCTTTTTTAAACAACCAGGATGAACCCTCTCACCCGCTGCTCCTTGCTCTGCCTGCCTTCCTCTACACGGCTGAGGAGGAATCCTTCTGCCAGGGCCACGGCCTGGGTGCTGCTCTCCGCTCCGCACTCCCTCAGCCAGCGCTCCATCTCCGCAGGAAGGACAGCTAGGAACTGCTCCAGCACCACCAGGTCCAGCATCTCCGCCTTGGTGTGCTGCTCTGGCTTCAGCCACAGGCGGCAGAGAGAGTGGAGCTGGCTGCAGGCCTCTCGGGGCCCTAAAGTCTCCTTGTAGTTGAACTGCCTGAAACGTTGGCGCTGTAAATCCGAACTAAACACATCCTCCTCCAGGCTTTTCTGTGTGGTTTCTTCCCCAAAGGCTCCATTAGGCTGAGCCTGCACCAGTGGAGGGCCTTTTCCTAGGTTAGGCTCAACAGAGATTTGCCCTCCCATCTTTCCATCCAGATTTTCCACTATTGCTGGATTCTCCTGTAAGGCAAAAAGATTGAAGAAATTACTGAAGATAAAGAGAGAGGGAAACAAAAGCAGGCAAGAGGTTTTTGTGAGGGAGATATTATGGAGATGCCAATGTTCTAGGAAGGGGTGTCAAAATCACATTCCTGCTGGACATTGGCTCCTTCAACCAATCAAGCTTTATTATAGTCTATAACAGGCATATAATAATAATAATAATAACAATAATAACAATAATAACAACAACAACAACAACAACAACACTTTCTCACCCCGAAGGGGACGCAGGGCAGATCACAGCACACATACACAGAAAACATTCAATGCCGCTTTGTATAGACAGTACACAGATAGACAGAATAGAAAGGAGGTGTGTTGTTTCGATGCCACAGGGGGTTCTGTTGCTCTATCTTCTATGACGAAGAGCCGTCAGGACTTCCTTCTTTCTTTTGGTGGCCCAGCATTTTCTGATCTTTCTTTATGGCATTGTAAAACACCTCCCCCGCTTTTTAGCGGTACCTAATTTATCTAATTACAGCTAAAGCTGTTTTTGAACTGCTTAGGTAAACAGTGAGCAGGGCTGACAGTCAGCTGCTCAAACCGACCCGGGGCTTTGACCTTGCAACCTTTGGGTTGGTAGATCTTACCACCACTGGTGATTTACCAGCTGTGCTAAACCTCCTGCTGAGTAGGTTAGGAATTCTTTCTTTCTTTCTTTATAACATTTGTATCCCATCCATATCAGCCCGAAGGCGAATCAGGGCAGTGTACAAGTCGGCAACAATATATGTCATATATAAAAATGCATACATCAGTAAAAAGCAAAAATAAATAAATCACAATACATTTAAAAACCATAAAAACAATGAGTAATAAAAATTATAAAAACTATGTCTTCTTGTTCAAATCCTCAACCGTTCCATCGTATTAGCCGTTCCTCGTTCATTTCCGATTTCAGTTTTTGGTCATGCTGTGGTTCCGAACGCTTGCTCAAAGAGCCAGGTTTTCACTCTTTTTGAATGGTCTGGAGGGAAGGGGCTGATCTAATATCCCTAGGCAGAGAGTTCCACAGCTGAGGGACTACCACAGAGAAGGCCCTGTCTCTTGTCCCTACCAAACGTGCTTGTGAAGCAGGCGGGATTGAGAGCAGGGCCTCCTCAGACGATCTCAAGCTCCTGGAAGATTCATAGGGAGAGATGCATTTGGAGAGATAAGCTGGGTTGGAACCGTGGTTCTCAACCTGGGGTCCCCAGATGTTTTTGGTCTTCAACTCCCAGAAATCCTAACAGCTGGTAAACTGGCTGGGATTTCTGGGGGTTGTGGGCCAAAAACATCTGGGGACCCCAGGTTGAGAACCACTGGTTTAGGGCTTTATAGGCTAAAGCCAGCACTTTGAATTTTGCCCGGTAGCAAATTGGTAGCTAGTGGAGCTGACGCAACAACGGAGTTGTATGCTCCCTGAACAGTACTTCTGTTAGTACCTTGGCTGCTGCACACGGGACCATTTGAGGCTTCCATTTAGTTTTCAAAGGCAACCTCATGTAGAGCACGTTGCAGTAGTCTATACGGGATGTAACCATAGCGTGGACCACCATGGCCAAGTCAGACTTCCCAAGGTACGGGCTAGGGTTATGGTTGTGGGAGTTTTATTTATTTATTTACAGCTTTTATATTCCGCCCTTCTCACCCCGCAGGGGACTCGGTGGATTACAGTGTACACATATATGGCAAACATTAAATGCCAATTTTGACATACAACATATACAGACATAGACACAGACAGAGGCTATTTAACTTTTTCTGGCCGCCAGGGGAGCTGTCGCTTTCATCGTCCCTCTGCGACACTGATGAAGTACTTCCGCATTCCCCGTATGCTTTTGCTGAAGTCTTTTTTTATGGCCTCATAAATTAGTTAATTTACCCTCCCCACACTTTAAGGTGGTACCTAACTTTCCCACTTGACAGATGCAACTGTCTTTCAGGTTGCAAAGGTCGACAACAGGCTACATAGTTGGTTGGAAACCCACTCCAACCCAGGCTGGCTTCGAACTCATGACCTTTTGGTCAGAGTGATTTTAATGCAGCTGAAACTCAGCCAGCTGCGCCACAATCCCGGAGTTGAAGTCCAAAACACCTGGAGGGCCAAAGTTTGCCCATGCCTGGTCTGTGACCAGCAGCATAGTGGAAGATACATGTATCAGAGTTAACTAAAATGAAGAGAGAAGACAGAGAGAAGAGAGAAGACTGCTCGAGAGCAGTACGTGTGAAAAAGATCTTGGAGTCCTCGTGGACAACAAGTTAAACATGAGCCAACAATGTGATGTGGCGGCAAAAAAAGCCAATGGGATTTTGGCCTGCATCAATAGGAGCATTGTGTCTATATCTAGGGAAGTCATGCTACCCCTCTATTCTGTTTTGGTCAGACCACACCTGGAATATTGTGTCCAGTTCTGGGCACCACAATTCAAGAGAGATATTGACAAGCTGGAATGTGTCCAGAGGAGAGCGACTAAAATGATCAAGGGTCTGGAGAACAAGCCCTATGAAGAGCGGCTTAAAGAGCTGGGCATGTTTAGCCTGAAGAAGAGAAGGCTGAGAGGAGATATGATAGCCATGTATAAATATGTGAGAGGAAGCCACAGGGAGGAGGGAGCAAGCTTGTTTTACTGCTGCCCTGGAGACTAGGACGCAGAACAATGGCTTCAAACTACAAGAGAGGAGATTTCATCTGAACATGAGGAAGAACTTCCTGACTGTGAGAGCCGTTCAGCAGTGGAACTCTCTGCCCCAGAGTGTGGTGGAGGTTCCTTCTTTGGAAGCTTTTAAACAGAGGCTGGATGGCCATCTGTCAGGGGTGATTTGAATGCAATATTCCTGCTTCTTGGCAGAATGGGTTGGACTGGATGGCCCATGAGGTCTCTTCCAACTCTTTGATTCTATGATTCTAATAGAAATAATAATTGAATAATAATATACTATTATTATTAATAGAAACGACAGCAGAAGGGCCCTGGATGGTGCCCAGTTTTGTCAAATAGTCCCTGCAAATGCACAAAATGGAGTGGCACTGAATGTAATTCATCTGAAAGGACACACATAAAAAGAATTTAAATGCCTTGGCTCCTCTCTTTATAAGATCCAGAACGTTTGGGAGCTTCTCTTCTGGATCAGAAGCCAAAAATCCCATTCATTTCACTGCTTCTCCATGAGTTCCCCTCTCTTGGGCCTTTTCTGGCTCAACCCTCCCATTCTCTGCTGTTTGCTCCTCCAAAGCCATACAAGTTTTCTCCCTCCTCCTCCTCTCTCCTTCCCCTTCCCTTCACCTGGGCCAGCCTTCCTTCCTTCGCCCAGGATCCCTTCTTTCTTTCTTTCTTTCCAAAGGCTGGAGGAGGAGGAGGACCCCAGGAAGGATGGACCAGAAGTTCTTCTTTGAGCACCGCACTTCCTGCTTCCGGTCAAGTAACCGAAGCCACGCCCTCTCCCGGCACAACCAATGCCGAGCCGTTCCAAAGTCAAGGGACTCTTGTCTGCTGGAGCTAGGTGTGAATGTTTCAACTGACCACCTTGATTAGCTGAAAAGAAAATGAAGGAAGACTGCCTTTTCTAGATGTCCTAGTCATCCGCAAACCAGATCAACAATTGGGTCACACCTTTTACAGAAAACCCACACACACAGATAGATATCTACATAAAAACTCCAACCATCACCCAAGTCAAAAAAGAAGCACCATTAAAGCCTTGGCAGACCGTGCAAAAAGAATCTGCGAAGCCCACCTCCTCCAAGATGAACTGAACCACCTCAACTGGGCTCTCCAGGCCAATGGAGACTCCACTCAGACATCAGAAGAGCTGCAAGACCAAGAACAAGCCACGAGAGTAAAGATGAAGATCCACCCAGAGGAAAAGTGTTCCTGCCATACATCAAAGGAACCACTGACCGCATAGGGAAGCTGATGAGGAAACACAACATACAAACAATCTACAGACCCACCAAGAAAATCCAACAAATGCTACGTTCAGCAAAGGACAAGAGGGATCCTCTCACCTCTGCAGGAGTCTACTGTATACCATGCAGCTGTGGACAAGTCTACATAGGGACCACCAAACGCAGCAGCATTGCCCAAACACGAATCAAGGAACATGAAAGGCACTGCAGACTACTTCAACCAGAGAAGTCAGCCATAGCAGAGCACCTGATGAACCAACCTGGACACAGCATATTATTTGAGAACACAGAAATGCTGGACCACTCTAACAACTACCATGTCAGACTACACAGAGAAGCCATTGAAATCCACAAGCATGTGGACAATTTCAAGAAAAGAAGAAACCATGAAAATGAACAAAATCTGGCTACCAGTATTAAAAAACTCAAAAATTACAGCAGAAAAACAACAGAGGGGAAACAAACAGGCACATGAAATCACCCTCAACAAAAGATTCCCCCCAGGCGCTACCAAGCCATTGAATGCAAATCAAGGTGATCAGCTGAAACATCCACATCTAGCCCCAGCAAACAAAAGTCCTTTGTCACACCCTGGTCATTCCACAGATATATAAACTTAGTTTTTCCTAGTTCCAACAGACCTCATTGGTGCTGGTTTTGACCTACAAAACCCTGTACGGTTCCGGTCCAGTGTATCTGTCCGAACGTATCTCCCTCTACGTCCCCCCCCGGAGTCTGAGATCATCTGGGGAGGCCCTGCTCTCGACCCCACCACTCTCACAAGTGAGGCTGGTGGGGACGAGGAGCAGGGCTTTCTCAGTGGTAGCCCCTCACCTGTGGAACTCACTCCCGGGGGAAATCAGGGCATCATCATCCCTCCTCTCCTTCAGGAGGAGGGTGAAGACGTGGTTGTGGGACCAGGCCTTCGGGCAATCAGGCAATTAAAAGACAATCAGGTGAATAAGATCAACACGATTGATGAAGTGGAATGGAAAACTAGAACTATGAGTTAGCAATCGCTGACCTTGTAAGAGAGGAACTGGGTTTGTATTGGTTTTTATTGATTTTATTGATATATGAATTAGTGTGATGTAATTGTGTAATTGTTTAACTTTGTGTCTTGATTGTTTTGTACTGCAGGCATCGAATCGTGCCTTGCTTCTGTAAGCCGCCCTGAGTCCCCTTCGGGGTGAGAAGGGCGGGGTAAAAGAACCCCAAATAATAAATAAATAAATATATAAACCAATTTTTCCTAGTTCCAACAGACCTCATTACCTCTGAGGATGCTTGCCATAGATGCAGGCGAAACGTCAGGAGAAAAATTGCCTCCAGAACATGGCCATATACCCCGGAAAAACCTACAACAACCCAGTGATTCCGGCCATGAAAGCCTTCGACAATACATTCAATCAGAGAAGTTGGACCAACCTGGACACAGCATATTATGTGAGAACACAGAAATGCTGGACCACTCCAACAACCACCATGTCAGACTACACAGAGAAGCCATTGAAATCCACAAGAATGTGGACAATTTCAACAGAAAGGAGGAGACCATGAAAATGAACAAAATCCAGCTACCAGTATTAAAAAAAAACTCTCAAATAAGGACAGTAAACAAAGAGGAACACTCAGAAAACAGAGGAATTCCAGACACAAATCAATCAGGGCCAGCTAACACCTCCAAGTGATAGGATTCCCCCAGGCAGTAAGCAGGAAGCCAGACCTTGAAGCTGAAAGACTTCAGTGCTAATCAAGGTGGCCAATGGCAGCTTTCACACATGCCTCAAATCAGAACAATATATAAAGAACAACACACAGAAACAAGGGGAGGCCCTGCTCTCGGCCCCGCCTCTATCACAAGTGAGATTGGCGGGGACGAGGAGCAGGGCCTTCTCGGTGGTGGCCCCTCACCTATGGAATTCACTTCCCAGGGAAATTAGATTGGCGACATCCCTCCTTTCCTTTAGGAGGAAATGAAAAACATGGATTTGGGACCAGGCGTTTGGACAATCTGGCAGATAGATAAAGGACTATGACGACTGATAAAAATGGACAAAGTGGAATGAAGTTATGGACTCTGAGTGGCGAACGCTGAGCATGAGATTAGTTTATTGACTGTGTTATATACTGATTGTTTTAACTGCCATAACTGTTTTAATTGCTGTTTTATACGTTTATTTGTATTATTGTGTAGGCATCAAATTGTGCCTTTTGTAAGCCGCCCTGAGTCCCCCCTCGGGGGTTGAGAAGGGTGGGGTAGAAGTACACAAAATAAATAAATAAATAAGGGAATTCCAGACAGCAAACAACCAAGTGCCAGTTAACACCCTCCAAACAAAATATCTTTTAGTGTCAGGAGCAACTTGAGAAACTGCAAAGGATAACTCCAGGCAAATGACAGCCAGGCTATCTCTATGCAAATACCCTCACGGATCGACTTTGCAAGATGAATCAACGCCAATCAAGCTTGATAAGGGCAGCATTCACACTTGCTTCAAACAGACAAGGATTCTTTTAGGCCGCCCTGAATCCCCCCCCCCCTCCCCGGGGGTGAGAAGGGCAGGGTATAAATATAGGAAATAAATAAATACATTCTCCCACCCTGGAATTATATTATATTATGTTGTTGTTCATTCGTTCAGTCGTCTCCGACTCTTCGTGACCTCATGGACCAGCCCACGCCAGAGCTCCCTGTTGGCCGTCACCACCCCCAGCTCCTTCAAGGTCAGTCCAGTCACTTCAAGGATGCCATCCATCCATCTTGCCCTAGGTCGGCCCCTCTTCCTTTTGCCTTCCACTTTCCCCAGCATAATTGTCTTCTCTAGGCTTTGCTGTCTCCTCTTGATGTCATTCATATATATTCATATATATATATATATATATATATATATATATATATATATATATATATATACATACACACACACACACAAATACACTCCACTTGCCTCACCTCCAACAGACCTCTGAAGATGCCAGTCATAGATGCAGGCAACATGTCAGGAGGGAATGCTACTGAAAAACTCTCACAACCATGTCAGACTACACAGAGAAGCCATTGAAATCCACAAGCATGTGGACAATTTCAACAGAAAGGAGGAAACCATGAAAATGAACAAAATCTGGCTACCAGTATTAAAAAAAAACTCTAAAATTACAACAGCAAAACAGGAGAGGGAAAACAATCAGGGACACATAATCACCTCTCAACAAAAGATAGCTCCAGGCACTTCCAGGATAGCCTAAGTAAGTAAATACAGCAGTCTCTCTGAGTTCACACAGAGAACAGAGGGAATGAATGGTCCTTTTAAACAGTCCTTAAAATATATTTCACGCCTCAAAAATGATCAGGCGTCAGAGAGCTGGCAGTCATTTCCTTCCTATTTCCACTCTCCAAAGTGAAAATGGCAATTGAAAACTGTTTGTCTCTGCAGCAAGCCAGAGACAGCAGCCAATCAGAACTCTGGAATACTGGAATATGGAACACCTGGAATACTGTGTCCAATTCTGGGCACCACAATTCAAGAGATATTGACAAGCTGGAATGTGTCCAGAGGAGGGCGAATAAAATGACCAAGGGTCTGGAGAACAAGCCCTATGAGGAGCGGCTTAAGGAGCTGGCCATGTTTAGCCTGAAGAAGAGAAGGCTGAGAGGAGATATGATGAGGGCCATGTATAAATATGTGAGGGGAAGTCACAGGGAGGAGGGAGCAAGCTTGTTTTCTGCTTCCTTGGAGACTAGGATGTGGAGCAATGGCTTCAAACTACAAGAGAGGAGATTCCATCTGAACATGAGGAAGAACTTCCTAACTGTGAGAGCCATTCAGCAGTGGAACTCTCTGCCCCGGAGTGTGGTGGAGGCTCCTTTTTTGGAAGCTTTTAAACAGAGGCTGGATGGCCATCTGTCAGGGGTGATTTGAATGCAATATTCCTGCTTCTTGGCAGAAGGGGGTTCAACTGGACGGCCCATGAGGTCTCTTCCAACTCTTTGATTCTATGATTCTTCCTCCAGGCATGCTCAGCCAATCAGCTGCCAGCACATGTCTTTCCAGTCAACCCACCACACCATGGCATCTCTTTTCAAATCCTCACACCTTAGCTCCCTAAGCCAAGCTCTGAAGCAACATCCATGGAAGGAACGACTCAGCCTGCCGACCAAATGCATGAGACTTCTTCTGAGCTGGCTGAGGAAGAGTTAACTGTTCCAGCTTTTGTGAACTTATGAGAAGAAAAGTTTCCACTGCGCAGGCCATTGAGGTAAGCTGAGAAGAGAGCAAGCTACAGGTAATACCTGTGAATTTAGGATTTAAGGGGCTGAAGATGGTTACCATGAAAATGAACAAAATCTGGCTACCAGTATTAAAAAAAAACTCTAAAATTAGAACAGCACAACAACAGAGAGGAAACAAACAAGGCCGTCTAATCACCTCTCAACAAAAGATTGCTCCAGGCACTGCCAGGCCATCAAATGCTAATCAAG